CTTTCAGAGGCAGCGTGGCTGGCAGGAGTGCTATGTTGTGCTCTTGAAGGAAATCCAGTCCTATGAAGTCTGCGTTACTACCAGAGTCAATGGTAATCGGCACTTCCATAGTGAGTCCATTGGGTAGTTGGAGCGATGCTGTGAGCTGCACCACTGGTTTGGGCGGGAGGTGGTCTGTGGGCTGCAAAATCTCTGGGGACGGCTTCATTGACTTGTCTGGTTGGGCCCCAGTGCCTCTTCCTCCAACCAGACTCTGTCGTTTCCCTGCTGTGGTTCTCTCTGCTGAGTTGCTTCTGTTACTGTTGCTGAGGCTGCAGTGTGCTTGTGGAGCCTCTGGGGACACTCTTTCGCCATGTGCTGAGCACTGTCGCAGATGTAGCACTTCCTGTTCCCTCTAGGAGGCTTCGCTTTGACTGCTCCCGGTGTTAAGGCTCTGGTAGCTGACTGAGCCCTGGCGCCTCCAATCTCCATCGGTTGCTCTCCCCCTCCTTGCGGAGGTGGGGATTGCACACGCGCTGTATCCTTGGGAAGAGGGGAGGTGCTCTCACTGGCGTACGTCCCCAACGTCCTTCTTCTCTGTTCCATGGACGTTCTTCCAGACGCACCCCAATTTGCAGCGCCCGCCGGACAACCTCCTGAGTGCTCTTTGGTCTCTCCCCCCTTGCAATCTCATCTTTCACATTTGCATTCAAGCCTTCCCAAAAAGGTCTCTGGCTGGGGCAGAATCCTTCTCCCATCCCAGCGCATGGACTAATGCAAAAAGCGGGAATGGTACTGCCTTACACTGGCTCTGCCTTGTTTGAGCCCATGTATGTCTTTTCTGGCGATATCAATGTCTATATTTGATAAAAAACACGAATCCATCGCTTTAATAAATGCATCCGCATTTTGGAGCGCCGGATCCTTATCTCTCCACAGATTGCGCAGCCACGCTTTAGCTTCCCCATGCAAATGGGACAAGATAAACCCCACCTTCTCTTGCTCATCTCTAAAGTCTTTATCCAGCAGTTCCAGCGCAAACAGCACGTCTGCTCGGAAGTTAGGGTACTGCTGCAAATTCCCATCGAAATGAGATACCAGGCTGCCTCCTCTTTTCCCCAGCCCAATCCCCTCTGATTTGGGTCCCGGTTGCCCCTGCTTAGCAAGCACTTCCAACCTGGCTTGGAGATCCCTGCAGGCGGCAGCCGCTTCCTCTTCCCTTTTCCTGGATGCGAGTACCTCCGCGTTGAGTTGTGTCACTGCATTTTGCAGGGCTGCTAGTTGCTGTTCTGTAGTCATCTTGCCTGACTTTTGTGAGCTCGCGAAGCACCAATCTTCTTCCCTCGCTGCGTCCACTCACGTTACGAGGTTTTTGGTCGCAAAACTTTCGGAGATGGAGCTTACTGTCAGAGCTGGCTCCAGGTCCCAGCTCACAGAGGACCAACGCTAGCCGGCAGTAATGTACAAAAGTCTTTATTGAAGTACAGTTTCCATTTTCAAGCCGGAGCGCCCCAGCTCTACGTCTAGGGGTTAGATCGGCGAAGCTCCATCTGAGTCTCCGCCCCCTGTACACCAGTTTAAGATTCTAGCCTTACTCCACCTCTTACGTCTCTCCTTTCTCCTCTGGGTCCTGCTACCCCCCGGGGTCCCTTCCTTCCTGGATTCTTCTGACGCTGACCCCCCTGACTCCTCCCCCTCTTTTCGGCGGGCTTTGGGACCTGGCTCCCTATCCGGGCTGCCAACTGCGCCGCCCTCCTGTACATTTGAACTTGGCGCGCGCACCCAGCCTTCAACCTTCCTCTCGACCGTTTCCTCGCTCCCCGATGGAGGCGTGGCCAATCCTGACTCATGTCCTCCCACTGGCAGTGCGCCGCCTGATCCCGATGCCTGGGACTCCTCCCCCCTTCTGCACTCTGGTGTGGACGCTGGTCCTGATTTCCAACTGCTGCTCTCTGAGTCCCCTCTGGCCCCTTCTTCCTGGGGTGTCCCCCTCGGCACCCCCCCTTGCTCTGACCAAGGGAGCCCCTTTCTGTGAATCTTCCGATTCGCTGGAAAGACTCAGAGACCTCGGACCGCTGTCATCGCTAACATTTCCTTCGGACTCCTCCCCCTCGCTCTCTATTTCCTCCCTTTCCTGTGCCTCTGCTCCTGAACCCCTGACAACGACGAATAAGCTTTGATGGGGCTTATTTCAATTCGCATGGTGTTTTTTGGGTGTGCACCAGAATGATCCCAAACAAAACCAAAAAGTTGCTTTGGGTTCTATCTACATAAAAAGAAGATAATTAAGCTCTGATTGGGCTCATTTCAAATTGGTGTTTTTGGGGTTAGAATGCACATTCACCCAAAAATCGTAGTGACATGTTTATTAGCAGCCCAAATCAAGCATAGGTGTTTTGGTTCCATCTCAATAGAAAGAGGACGAATAAGCTTGATTGCTCTTTCGGTGTTCATTCACCCACAAATAGCAAAGAAAAGTGTAATAAGCCTAAACGAAGCCAAACAGGTTGTTTTGGGTTCCAGCTACATAGAAAGAAGAATCTTGGCTTTCGCTCATTTAAAGTCGTGTTCTTTGGTGTTAATGCACATTGACCCAGAAATCGCAACGTGTGTGTAATGAGACCAAAATAACACAACACCATCTTTTTGCTTCCATATGCGTAGAAAGACGATGAATAAGATTTGATTGGGCTTATTTCAATTCGCATGGTGTTTTTTGGGTGTGCACCAGAATTACCCCCATCCAAACCAAAAAGGTATTTTGGTTTCCATCTACATAAAAAGAAGATAATTAAGCTCTGATTGGGCTTATTTCAAATTGGTGTTTTTGGGGTTAGAATGCACATTCACCCAAAAATCGCAGAATGACATGTTTGTTATCAGCCCAAATCAAGCATAGGTTTTTTGGTTCCATCTCAATAGAAAGAGGACGAATAAGCTTAAAAGGGACTTCCAAGCCATGCCTCTTAAGGTCATTTGCAAGTATAGCAGTGCACATAGGTGGATATAGGATACCACGTAAAAAGAACACCTGTTGTATTTTGTTACTAAATTACTTGTATTCTAGCTCTTTGGGAGAAACATTTTCTCAATACTGGTCTATGCTTTACATTTAGCAGGAAAGTCCACTAATGACTGAAAATGCAGTTTGCTTTGTCCTGCGTAGTTTTTTGTGTGTTCTCAGGTGTCAAGCTAGCTCTACTTTGGTCTCACACTCGCATAGTGGTACAGCAGTGGCAATCCTTGGTGAATCCACTTAGGGCTTTCATATTAACCATGTCGCCTGGCACTCACCAGAGCTGGCACAGGTTTGGACACGTCATGAGAGAGATGTCTTTGCCTTGGCCTTTCTTTGGGATTTTATTATAGGCTCTGGTCTTGCACTCATGGGAAGTTGCTCACTTGCTCTTAAAGGACCAAAAAGCTAATTGCAGCCTGGATACACTTGCCCAATTCAAACAGAGTCCAATTTGAATTTATATAGGCCCATGGTTCTCAACTTTCTAAACCAGTCTGTTAAAACAAAACCAGTCTTAATAAGGCACTTGTCCAAATAAGTCAATTTATAAGGGATCATTCCTGCTAAATCAAGGCATATACACTTTTCTTGTTATCTGGCCTTTCATGGATCCTGAAGCTTCTCCTTGGTAAAATCAAAATTCGGTAGAGAAGAGTAAGCACACAATTTGGTAGTCCAATTGAGATGAAAAAATGAGAGCAATTATGGGGAATAATATGTTGGAGATGTAAACAAAGTGAAGGAACCTTATTCCACGTATGGTGGTTGTGTCCTCAAATAAATAAATAAAATTTGGGACATGATCTACACCCATTTCCATTTGGCATTCTAATCAAAACATCCCAAATAATAATAGTGTTGCCTCAAAACTACATGATAAAATATGGTTCCAAGAATAATACTTGGTTGTGGTTAGATTAATTCCACAGCTATACGGGAAAACCAAGATTAATAAATAAATACAGAACAATTGCTACTTAAAGACAGTACTGAATCTGCAAGAGATACAGAGAAGTCATAGAAGAGATTCAAAATAGTTTTCTGGAACAGAAAGAAAGTGACTGCAAAGAAAGAAAGAAATAGTAAAAAAGTAATTTCTTTCTGGGAACTTAATGTATAGAAAAAAACAAATCACTATTTGTGTCCTTTGAATAAAAAAAAATATATTTTTGGTGACAAAATTAAAATAAATAAATAAATAAATAAATGGGTAGAGAAGGTTGGCACACTGCAGAGTGCCAGGTGGGACAAGCAAATATGATCATCAGTTGACTTAATCTAAATATAGCCTGCTCTATCGGAAAGCATGTAATATATGAGAATCCTCCATGAAAAAACTTGGGGTGTAAGCCAAACCCTTCTGTTGTTCAGTTATGCACCCTATTTTATACAGAAACAATTACACAGAGAAATTTTGTCCCCCCCTTTGTGGAGGTAACACACTATCAGACACATTTCAGCATTCCTACATAATAACACATAATACACAAAACATACAAATTATTAATGCTACACCATATCTTGAGGCAGTAATGTGATCTTGAGACCATTCTTGCTGCTTTTACATGTATCTCCAAACTTGGGCAGAAGGGCATTTCTTGCCTGCCTTTGAGTCATTGGGAGGAAGTTAAGAGCCCTTCCAAACGTTGCTGACATGTTATAGCTTTCTAGGTTCTTTCCTTCTTGGGTTGTGGTCAAAGAGATAAAATGTCCTTCAAAATTCAATTAGTCAGTTTCTCAAGTCTTTTTATGCATAAATTTTTATTAATTTTCCAATATAATTGTACATTTTATCCAAATTTTGACAAATTATCTCTTTTGGACTTCCTTCAGCTTCTCTAGCAATCATCCATATTTATCTCTTCAGTACACATTCCCTTCATTTGTATTGCCATTTGTCTTCCCTCCCCCTTCTATTTCTTTTTAACAATACATCAATACATTGAACTGCATCCAAGAGTATTAAAAGAACTGGCAGAGGTGATCTCAGAACCACTGGCAGTCATCTTTGAGAATTCCTGGAGAACAGGCGAAGTCCCGGCAGACTGGAGGAGGGCAAATGTTGTCCCTATTTTCAAAAAGGGAAAAGAGAGGACCCAAATAATTATCGCCCAGTCAGTCTGACATCAATACCAGGGAAGATTCTGGAGCAGATCATTAAGCAAACAGTCTGTGAGCACCTAGAAAGGACTTCTAGAATTTTCTTCTTCTCACACCATAAATACGCGTGCCATCCAAATCTGTTATCAAAACCTTCCAAATCTAATAACTCCTTATTTTCTAATTTTATCCAATCCTTTAACCAACATAGGCATGCTGCTTCATAATATAATTTCAAATCTGGTAGGGCGAAGCCTCCTGTTTTTTTCACATCTGTTAGTAACTTATATTTTATTCTTGGCTTCTTACCCTGCCAGATATACCTTGAGATCACTCTCTGCCACTCTTTAAAAATCCCTACCCCCTTTATAATGGGGATAGTCTGAAATAAAAATAACATCTTTGGAAGCACGCTCATCTTTATCGTGGAAATTCTACCCCAAAAGGACAGTTTCATTCTACCCCACACCTCCAGATCATTCCTTATTTCCTTCCAAACTGGTATATAGTTATTCTGGAACAGGTCAATATTTTTAGGTGTTAACCAAATTCCTAGATATTTTACCTTTTTCACCACCTCCATCTCTGTTTGTTGTTGCATTATTTCTATCATACTTTGATCCATATTTTTAGCAATTATTTTAGTTTTTTTCTTATTCAATCTAAACCCGGCCATATTTCCAAATTTTTCAATCTCCTCCATTACTTCTTTTACACTCTCCATTGGTTCTTCCATCGTTATTACCAGATCATCAGCAAAGGCTTTAACTTTATATTCATTCTGACCTACTGTCACCCCTTTTATTAATCTATTTTGTCTAATCGCACTTAAAAAGACCTCCAGAACCGTTATAAATAACAATGGCGAGAGTGGACAACCCTGTCTTGTTCCTTTAGATATTTTTATATCTTCCGTAATTACATTACATTAATCAATAATTACATTATTGACTATCAATTTGGCTCTCTGCTCTGTAGATATTGCCTTAATTCCATTAAAGAACTCTTTTCCCACCTCCATATACTCCAAGTTTTTCAACATAAAATCCCATGCTATATTATCAAAGGCCTTTTCTGCATCCACAAACATTAGTATCGCTTGTTTCTCATTCCTGGCAGTCAGATATTCCAAAATATTAAATTATATTCCTTATATTGTCTTTCATCTGTCTGCCTGGTCTCAAGTCTTTTTATGGGAAGAAATTGTTGTGGCCAATGTAATGCATTGGCAGGCTGCTTAGCTGGTGAGGAGATCGTCTTAATATTTGGTCTCCCGCAAAGCATCCTTTGAAAATAGGCCTGCGGGGGGGGGGGGTTGGGATCTGAAGACATAATTAGTTTTTGGGTTTTTTTAAAGGAGGAAGATAATAGTTAAGAAAGGAGATAATATTCTAAAATTTTCTTCTTGGGAAGCTGTAAATAATATCCATTTAAATATTATAATCATTTACATTTAATTTCCTTCACTTAGTTTGGCTGTGGAAGAAACGAAGGGACAAAACCTTTGTTAATTTGAACACAATTGGCAAGTTATTAAACATTTTGCTTATGTGGGTCCGAATTCTCTTAGAGGTTCATGTATCCTGTTTGAAAGCGAAATTTTTATTTCCTGTGAAAAACTCTGTCAGGAATGCTGTTCCTATAATGCAACCAGATAAAAGACAAACTCAGTGGGAAAACTGTGAAAAGAATTTTGCATGTTAGATTGGAACTTGGTAGACTCTTAATAGTTGATGGTTGTCAATGGTTCTCAATGGTTCCGTACTAGAGCAAAGATTTTGGGCACCATAAGGAGAAGGGGTAATTCTCATTGCATTCCCTTTTACAGAAAGTAATTTGAATTTAAACCTGTTCCTCACTTCCACTGTGTATTCATAAGGGATTTGATTTAGATTGTATCTTACCGGCCCAGTGGTTTTTCCTACTTTCTTCAGTTTAAGCTAGAATTTTGCTATAAGAAGCTGATAATCTGAGCCACAGTCAGCTCCAGGTCTTGTTTTTGCTGACTGTATAGAGCTTCTCCATCTTTGGCTGCAGAGAATATAATCAATCTAATTTTGATGCTGCCCATCTGGTGATGTCCATGTGTAGAGTCGTCTTTTGTGTTGTTGGAAAAGAGTGTTTGTGATAACCAGCTTGTTCTCTTGACGGAATTCTATTAACCTTTGCCCTGCTTCGTTTTGAACTCCAAGGCCAAACTTGCCAGTTGTTCCTTTTATCTCTTGATTCCCTACTTTAGCATTCCAATCCCCTATAATGAGAAGAACATCCTTCTTTGGTGTCATTTCTAGAATGTGTTGTAAGTCTTCATAGAATTAGTCAATTTCAGTTTCTTCAGCGCCAGTAGTTGGTGCATAAACTTGGATTAAAGGTAAAGGGACCCTGACCATTAGGTCCAGTCGTGACCGACTCTGGGGTTGCGGTGCTCTTCTCACTTTACTGGCCGAGGGAGCCGGTATACAGCTTCCGGGTCATGTGGCCAGCATGACTAAGCCATTTCTGGTGAACCAGAGCAGCGCATGGAAACGCCATTTACCTTCCCGCTGGAGCGGTACCTATTTATTTACTTGCACTTTGGCGTGCTTTCAAACTGCTAGATGGGCAGGAGCTGGGACCGAGCAACGGGAGCTCACCCCGTTGCGGGGATTCAAACCGCTGACCTTCTGATCAGCAAGTCTAGGATCTGTGGTTTAACCCACAGCGCCACCCTCGTCCCTAAACTTGGATTACTGTGATGTTAAAAGGTCTGCCTTGGATTCGTATTGAGATCATTCTATCATTTTTGAGACTGCATCCCAGTACAGCTTTCGCCACTCTTTTGTTGACTATGAGGGCCACTCCATTTCTTTTACGGGTTTCTTGCCCACAGTAGTACAGTGGTGCCTCGCAAGACGAAATTAATTGTTCCGCTGAATTTTTCTGTCTAGCGAATTTTTCTGTCTTGCGAAGCACGAAATCCCATAGGAATGCATTGAAAATCAATTAATGCGTTCCGATGGTCCAAAAAAGTGCAACCAAAGCCAAATTTGGGACAACAAGAGTTTATTAAGTGCTCTTTAAAGTCACACATACTGTAAAGAGCATTTCAAAATTCAAACCCAGAATTTTTTTAAAAACAGCAGTTGCCCAATGGTCACAGAAAATCATAAAAATGCAGGGGAAAAAACACAAGCTTCCAGATTCTTGCAAACCCCTCCCCAACTGTTCCCCCAGCCACCCAGCACACAGAAATTCAAATCCAGAAACTTTTTTTAAAAAACAGCAGAGTGGCCCAATGGTCACAGAAAATCATAAAAATGCAGAAAAAAAACACACAATGTCAAGGCTGCCTCAAGTCTCAGCTCACAAAAGACCAACGCCTATGTCTTCTTATATACAAAGGTGTTTATTGCAGTTCATGGTTTGCTTGACATCCTAGGCGCGCAGCCTCACGTCTCTTACGCTAGACCGCTGAAGTCCCCTCTGAGTCAGTCCCTCCCCTGCACCAATTTAAGAGACTTGCGCTGCTCCACCTCTTTCTCTCCTTCCTTTTCCGCAGGGTCCTTCTGCCCCCTGGGGGTGCGCCCCGTCTGGAGTCCTCGGACGCTGACTCCCCAGGCGGCGCGTCCCCCCTCCTGCGGGCTTTGGGACCTGGCCCCTCCTCCGGGCTCCCTGTCCGTCCGCGCGCCTCTACATTTGAAACAGGCGCGCGCGCCAAACCTCTAACTTTCCTTTTGACAGTTACACTACTCCCTTCACTGCTCCCTCCCCTTCCGGAAGGGCGGCTTGCTCTGACCTCCCTCCTTTCTCTGCTCCCGGAGCTGCTTCCTCTGACACACTGGAAACTCCACCCCCTTCGCTGCACTCTGGTGGGGAGGCTGGTCCTGACGCCCAGCTGCCACTTTGGGATCCTCCGCTGGCCCCCTGCTCCTGACACGTCCCTCCTGGGGCTCCCTGGCCTTAACCACCGGCGCCCTTCTGGGAATCCTCTGATTCGCTGGAAAGACTCATGGAATCTCTTGAGTCATTGTCATCCTCTTCCTCGCTGGCTTGGAATTCCTCCCCATCGCTCTCCATCTCCTGCCTACCCTGTCCCTCTCTCCCTGAACCCCTGACACACAAGCTTCCAGATTCTTGCAAACCCCTCCCCAACACCAAGTCCTTGAATTCCAAACACCCCAACCCAAAATCCAACCCCCCCCAAAAAAGTTTTAAAAGCTTAACTTACCAAATGGCTGCAAAAGAAGTTTTGGAAAAGCTTCAAAAATCACCAAAGTCTTTAAAAACCTCAAAACAGGCTACTATGTACACTGCGTTCTATGAGTTGCTCCTCGAAGTCAAGTCGCAACTGTATTAACAGTGTTAAGAAAAAGGAAACAAACTTGCAAGACGTTTTTGTCTTGCGAAGCAAGCCCATAGGGAAATTCGTCTTGCGAAGCAGCTCAAAAAACGGAAAACCCTTTCGTCTAGCGAGTTTTCCGTCTTGCGAGGCATTCGTCTTGCGGGGCACCACTGTATACCGTATACGATGGTCATCCGAACTGAATTCGCCCATTCCCATCCATTTTAGTTCACTGATGCCCAGGATGTCAATATTTATTCTTGCCATCTCATTTTTGACCACATCTAACTTACCCAGGTTCATGGTTCTTACATTCCAGGTTCCTATGCAATATTTTTCTTTACAGCACTGGACTTTCCTTTCGCTTCCAGGCATATCCGCAACTGAGCGTCCTTTCAGCTTTGGCCCAGCCACTTCATCAGCTCTGAATCTACTTGTACTTGTCCTCCGCGCTTCCTCAGTAGCATGTTGGACGCCTTCCGACCTGAGGGGCTCATCTTCCAGCGTCATAACTTTTATATGCCTGTTGTCTTTGTACATGGAGTTTTCTTGGCAGGGATACTGGAGTGGCTTGCTGGTTCCTTGTAATGAGTATGAGTTACTCGTGCGTAAACTGGTGCCTCTCTAGGCTGATTTGCCTTGTTAAACCTTTCTGACTGCACAGCCCCTTCTGATCATGACTGTCTCAGTCACTAGCAGAATCCGTCAGTGGGCGTTTCTTGAATCTCTTCCAACATAAGAGTTGTTTGACACCCAATCGCCTCCGCCTCTCACTGCGCGGGAGCCTTCTGCGCAGGGTGGGCGTGGGTAGCGGGGGACCTGTCCCCTCCTCACTGAGTTCCAGTGAAGAGTCCGTGAGCCCTCTCTCCGATTTTCCCATCTGCTCACTTTTGTTCCTGGTGTTGCGCTTAAATGCTTCCCTCCACTGAGTCGCCTCTCCCCTGCTGCTGGGTCCTTCTCCAGCATCATCCAGGAGCCTCCCCTTCGCCTCTCGCTCTGATGTCAGTTCCCTGACATCCACCTCCCCCAGAATCCCCCCACCCCTGGGCCGACCTGTGGGACCAACTTCGTCCCCTTCGTCGGCCGAGGAGGCGGGGAAACCCCGGAAGGAACTGTCACCATCTTCCGTGGGTTCGAAACCCGCTTCCCAATCGCTCTTCCACCTACCAACGGGGTGGTCTTCCCCGTCTGATGCTTCTTCCTCCGAAACCTCTCCTCCCTCCTCGGAGTCAGAAAATCCCTCAAAAACCTCTTCCTCATCTGTGGTTCCAAATTGCTCCTCCCAGAATCTCTCCAGGGGTTTGGGTTTGTCCGGGAACCGGTGGTGGAATACCTCCACCAGATACCTGTCCTCGACGGCTTCCGTGGGGACCCACGTGCTTTCGGACCTGGGTTCCCTTCCCACGCTACCAAATACTCCACCCGGCGCCCTTGCCACCTTGAGTCCAGTATTTCCGTGGCCCTGTGGTGGTGTTCCCTTTCTTCTACCTGCGGGTGTGTGGTGACTTCTCCCTCTTGCCCCTGGAATTCCCGCCCTTCCCTATGCGGTGAAAGCAGGGACCTATGGAAAACCGGGTGTATTTTCATGCTATCAGGCAACCTGAGCTTAAATGCCACGGGATTAACTTGCTGTGTTACCTCAAAAGGTCCCAGCCGTCTGGGCTGCAACTTCTTGCACCCCCCGTTGAAAGGTAGCCCTTGGGTGGACAACCACACCCGGTCCCCCACCCGGATGGTCTCCCTTCCTGCGGTGCTTGTCTGCCTGCCTCTTGTAAGTTTCCTTGGCCCGCTCCAAGTTCATCTTAAGTTGCTGGTGTAGGGCCTCCATTTCTTCCACAAACTGCTCTGCGGCGGGTACGCTCCAGCTTTCCTCCCCACTCCCCGGGAGGCCCTGGGATGACACCCATGGTTGGCCATGAATGGGCTCATTCCCGTGGACACGTGTTCCGCGTTGTTGTACGCGAATTCAGCCAGCGCTAGTTTTTCTACCCAATCTTTCTGCCTCTCGCTGACATAGCAGCGTAGGTATTGCTGGAGTATACTGTTCGCTCTTTCTGCTTGCCCGTTGGTCTCTGGGTGTCTCGCCGTCGAGAAACCCACCTCCACCTGCAGTAAGCTCATGAGTTTCCTCCAGAACCGGGAAGTAAATTGTTTTCCGCGGTCGGAGATAACCCTCAAGGGGGCGCCATGCAGCCGGAATATGTGCTCCACAAACAACCGGGCTGTTTCCTCTGCCGTTACAGCATGTGAGCAAGCTATAAAGTGGCACATTTTTGTCAGTAGGTCGACCACTACCATGACTGCTGTCTTTCCCCGGGACTTGGGCAAATCTGTCATAAAATCAATGGATACCACCTCCCAGGGTTTCCCGGCGTGGGTAAGGGTTCCAGCAATCCTGTGGGGCAGCCCGCTCCCCTTTGCCCTTTGGCAGCGGTCGCACCCCCGTACATATTCCCGTACATCCTCCCTCACCCTGGGCCACCAGAACTGCCTGGTCACAAGCATCATGGTTTTGTGCTGTCCAAAGTGCCCTGCTGTGGGGTTGTCGTGGAGTTGTTTGAGTACCTTTTCCCTCAGGGTCTCCCCCGGTACGTACAGCGCTCCCCTATAGTACAGTACCCCTTCCTTCTCCTCAAACCCTTCTTGGGTCCCTCTTCCGTCTCGTAGTTCCCGGATTTTAGTTTGCGCGAACACGTCGCTTCTGGTCAGCCCGGCTAGTTCTCGTTTCCCCACCAAAGTTCCCCACACACCCATCGGTCCTCGGGGATCACGTGTCGTTTCTCCGGCGGCCCCTCTCCTTCCAGGTACTCCGGTTTACGCGAGAGAGCGTCTGCTCTACGTTTCTTCTCCGGGCACGTAGCGGATTTCAAAGAAAAACTTGGAGAACTCCTGTGCCCATCGAATCTGTCTCTGGTTGAGTACTCGTGCGGTTCTCCAGTACTCCAAGTTCTTGTGATCTGTGCAAACCTGGATCTGTTGTTGCGCCCTATCAGTAGATGACGCCAACGACGAAAGGCCGCGTAGATTGCCAGCAGTTCGCGGTCATACACTGTATAGTTTTGCTCCGACTTGCTCAGTTTTCTGGAGAAAAAGGCACACGGTTTCCATTCCTGCTTTCCCTTCCCTGGCTGCAACAGGGCCCCCCCCCCGGCTCTGTCGGACGCGTCGGTCTCTAGCCTCAGGGGTTTCTCCAGATCTACGTGCAGGAGTTGCTCTTCCGATGCGAACGCCTTCTTCAGTTTTTCGAAGGATTGCTGGGCCTCTTCTGTCCACACAAACTTCTTTTGCTACTGAGACAATCCGTGATTGGCGCTGTCAAGTGGGCGAAGTTCTTGATGAACTTCCTGTAGAAGTTGCTGAACCCTAGGAACCTCTGTACGTCCTTCCGTGTCTTGGGAGCCTTCCACTCCAGCACTGCCTGCACCTTGCTTGGGTCCATCGCTAAGCCTTTGTCAGACAACTTGTACCCCAGAAACTCGACTTCTCTGGCGTGAAACTGACATTTTTCCAGCTTGACCCACAACTGGTGCTTCTGCAGTCGTTGTAACACTTCCCTGACGTCTCTAACATGTTGTTCCTCATTGTCCGAATAAATTAAGACGTCGTCCAAGAAGGCTACGCAGTTCTTGTACAGCAGAGACCCCAACACGTGGTGCATGAAAGCTTGAAAGCAGGCGGAGCCTGACTGTAATCCAAAAGGCATAACTAAGTACTCAAAGGCACCTAGGGGTGTGAACATTGTGGTCTTCCATTCGTCCCCCTCCCTCATCCTGATCAAATTGTATGCGCCCCGAGGTCCAGCTTGGTAAAAATTTTGCCTTTCCTCACTCGCGTTAAAATGTCGTCAATCCTGGGCATTGGGAAGGTCACGGGTTCTGACACCAAATTGACAGCTCTATAGTCCACTACGAGCCTGGGTTTATTTGTGTCCTTTTGTCCACAAAGAACACCGGACTGCCCCCTACTGCCTTTGATTCTCTTATGAAGCCTCTTTTCAGGTTCTTGTCGATAAATTCTCGCAACTCCTTCATCTCCCTGTCTGACATGGCGTACAGCTTACCCACTGGCAGCTGAGCCCCCGGAAGCAAGTTGATCTGGCAGTCAAAGGGCCTATGGGGTGGCAGTCTATCTGCCTCCTTTTCGCTGAAGACCTCCCGCAGATCTGCGTATTGTGGCGGCACCTCCCCTTTCCGCTCCACCGCCATCCCAGCCACCCTGGCCACGGTCATTCTTGGGGCTTCCCCTCCTAGACAGTGTTCCAGGCAGTAAGCTGATCCAAAGGTGACTGTCCTCTGATGCCACGCCACCACTGGATCATGGTGTGCTAGCCAGCTCATCCCTAATATTATTGGGGGTCCTGCTAGCGAGGCGACGTGAAAGGCGATGGTTTCCGAGTGCCTGGACACCCTCATTCTCAGTGGCGGGGTGTGGTGTGTCACTTCCACTCCTAGAAGCTCCCTGCCATCAATGGTGGTCACTTGCAAGGGAAAATCCAAAGGCAGTAAGTGGAGCTGGTGCTCTAATGCAAAGTCCTTGCTGAAGAAATTACATGAGCTGCCTGAATCCAGCATGCCTTTCACCTTGACTGGGTGCCCGTTTGGGAGTTCTAGCACCACTTCGATGGCTATTGCCGCCTTGGGGGGGTCTGGTTGGGGCACTTTACTGGTGGCTGGCTTGGCTGTTGTGCCCCTTGATTGGCAGCCAAGCGTTCTCGTTCCCTGTTCCTGTTCCTTTACCATCTCCTCCTCACCCCCTGCGGTTCCCACCATTCCTTGCCAAGCCTTTCTTTGAGGGCAGGCTCTGGCAATGGCCTGGCCGCTGGCAAAGGTAACACTTCGTGGAGGTTGTCCAATCCTTTCCCTCCTCCGTGCGCCCTTCGCTGGTGCTTGAAACTTCCTGCGCGCGCGCCCATCTATTTCCATTGGCTCTGCTGGCGGGGAGGGCTGCCTTGGTATTTCAGGAATGCGGTAGTCATGGCAACGTTGCTCTCTCCCTTCCCGCCTCTCCTGGGCCCGCGCTTCCTGGCGCGCGCCAATCGCAAGCACAGCCTTGGTCAGCTGATCCATCCCCTGTGGGCGGGGTGCGCGGGAAAGTTCATCCTTAACCGTTGGGGACAACCCCTCCTCGAATAACATCTGTATGGGTTCGGAGCCCAGTTCCCACCCGAGGCGATGAACTATCATGGCAAAGCGCGACCAGTAGTCCCTGACTGACTGGCTCCCTGTTTACAGTTCATCAATTCCCGCTTAGTCACACTTTTTGAACATCAGTGGAAAACATCGCGTCCATCGCTTGGAAGAATTTCCTCAGGTCCTGCATGGCGGAATTCTGCGTCGCCATAAGGGGTCTGACCCATTCTCTGGCCCCGTCCTGCAGGTGACCCACAACATATGCCACCCGCGCCGCGTCGTCTTCAAAATCGTTATGCTGCAAGTCCAATGCGTACTCTATTTCCGTTCTAAACGCACTGTATTCTTGCGGCTTCCCCACACTCGAGCACCAGTCCCGGTACCTTCCTTGCTATGGGGGTGGGTCTGACCTGTGCATCTTGAGACCGCCTTTCGTCCAGCCGTGCCGTCAGAATGGCCACATGCTGCTCCAAATCTCGGTTCCTCTCCTCCAGCGTTTGCCCTCCAGCTGCTCCCCTTGGGTGCCTGCTTCTCCGGGCTTGCTCATGATGCTGCCTGCCTGCTGCTGCGCACGAGCAACTTTCAGGGACTGACGGATTGCTGTAATGAGTATGAGTTACTCGTGCGTAAACTGGTGCCTCTCTAGGCTGATTTGCCTTGTTAAACCTTTCTGACTGCACAGCCCCTTCTGATCAGGACTGTCTCAGTCACTAGCAGAATCCGTCAGTGGGCGTTTCTTGAATCTCTTCCAACATAAGAGCTGTTTGACACCCAATCGCCTCCGCCTCTCACTGCGCGGGAGCCTTCTGCGCAGGGTGGGCGTGGGTAGCGGGGGACCTGTCCCCTCCTCACTGAGTTCCAGTGAAGAGTCCGTGAGCCCTCTCTCCGATTTTCCCATCTGCTCACTTTTGTTCCTGGTGTTGCGCTTAAATGCTTCCCCCTCCACTGAGTCGCCTCTCCCCCTGCTGCTGGGTCCTTCTCCAGCATCATCCAGGAGCCTCCCCTTCGCCTCTCGCTCTGATGTCAGTTCCCTGACATTCCTCTTCCAGGTGGATCACGTTTGGACAAAACTCTCCACTATGACCTGTCTATCTTGGGTGCCCTGCTCAGCATAGTTCATAGCTTCACTGAGTTATTCAAGCCCCTTCGCCACAGCAAGGCAATGATCCATGAAAGGGAATAATAATAATACCCCACCTTTTCCCCTGACAGCGTCTCGAGGCAGCTTACAAACAAAATAAGAACTAAAGACATAGAAAAAAGAAGCCATTTTTTAAAAAAAGCATTAGTAGAATTAGATATTAATTGGCTTTTGGGTTGTTTTTGTTTTATTATGCATTTTGTGTTCTGATTTTGTATTTTTATGTTGTGAACCGCCCTGTGATCTGTCATTTGTGTGTGTTTGTGTGTGATAATTACAATAATACAACATACACCTCACCACAGCCATAGCAATGGAATGCAGGAAGCATCCTTAGACCAAGCCCAGCCATTGATCCACAGGTAATGAGGATTGGCAGTTGGCCCTTTGGGGTTTCAGACAGAGAGCCTTTTCCCAGCCCCACCTGGAGATGCTGAGGACTGAACCTGGGACCTTGGGCATGCAAAACAAATGCTCTGCCCCGAGCCACGGCCCTTCCCCATACGCCATCAGCCAGAGGACATATCTTTGAAAGGAAATGAACGTGTGCCTTGCACAAGCATTCCTAGCAGAACAGAGGCCCATTTGACCACCAGTGAGTTGGCCACAGATGCCCCCCGTGCAATCATTTCAAGAGGGCCTGTCCTCCAGCATGGGAGCTGCCGCTTCCCCCTGCTCTGACATCTTGGGGGCTCCCTTACCACTAATATCTCCTGCAGCGTCTCCAGAGAGGGTGCCTCCGACAGCAAGCTGGTGAGCATGTTGAGGCAGGTGTCGATGGTCTCTTGATAATAGTCCTGAAAGGAGAGAAGCAAAAGCTGTTAGAAGCTGAAGACCCCCACGGAAATCCCATATGCTCTGGAGCCTTCTAGTCCAGCATCCCCTTTCCACAGTGGCCAACCAGGTGACCCAGTGGGAAACCTGCAAGCAAGGCGTGAGCTCAACAGCCCCCTCCTTGGAGGTTTTTAAGCAGAGGTTGGATGGCCAGCTATCACGATTCTATGGTTCTGGTTCTGGAGCACCTCGGGTTCCCCATGCCTGGTTCTTGGACTCCAACCACTCCTGACTCTTGGTGATGCTGACTGGGGCCAATGGCAGCAAATCAGGAGAAGCACACATTCTTCAACTCTATTTCTTTTTGCAGCCCATAGCCAGAATGAGAAAAGAGGGAAAGAGCCACAGGGGGGGCTGTTGTCCTAAGACTTTATTTCTATACTACCTGTCCATTGCCCAGGTGAGGGAACACCTTTTAAATGGCATGCAGAATCAAGAGAATCACAGCAAGCTTCAGCAGATCCAGCTAGGGACCCAGTATATTAGGGCTATTGCAATAGGGCAGCCTTGCCCACCAGCTGCTCAGCAAATTCGTAACAAAGCTTATGCAGGGGTTCAAACACAGCGCACAAAGAGTCATAAATATCAAACGTTTCTTGATGTATGTACCATTTGGCCCTAACTATCGTACTTTAAGGGACGCGGATGGCGCTGTGGGTTAAACCACAGAGCCTAGGGCTTGCAGATCAGAAGGTTGGCAGTTCAAATCCCCGCGACGGGGTGAGCTCCCGTTGCTCGGTCCCTGCTCCTGCCAACCTAGCGGTTCGAAAGCACATCAAAGTGCAAGTAGATAAATAGGTACCGCTTTGGCGGGAAGGTAAACGGTGTTTCCGTGCGCTGCTCTAGTTCGCCAGAAGCGGCTTAGTCATGCTGGCCACATGACCCGGAAGCTGTACGCCGGCTCCCTCGGCCAATAAAGCGAGATGAGCACCGCAACCCCAGAGTCGGCCACGACTGGACCTAATGGTCAGGGGTCCCTTTACCTTTACCTTTTTATCGTACTTTAACCTCCATTGCCATAGCAATCAAATCTTCAGTGGGGGCTGTTGTTGTTTATTGAGAAGGCCTTGTGGCAGCTGCCTCACTGCAAGAAGTGAGGTTATAGGGAAGCAGGCAGTGGGCCTTCTCGGTGGTGGGGCCCACCCTGTGGAACACCCTCCTATCAGATGTCATAGACATACATAATTATACTTCCGTCTGAAGACATCTGAAGGCAGCCCTGCCTAGGGAAGTTTTAAATATTTGATGTCTTGTTGTGTTTTAATTTGTTGGAAGCCGCCCAGAGTGGCTAGAGTAACCCAGTCAGATGGGCAGTGTCAGGGGTTCAGGGAGAGAGGCACAGGGTAGGCAGGAGATGGAGAGCGATGGGGATGAATTCCAAGCCAGCGAGGAAGAGGATGACAATGACTCAAGAGATTCCATGAGTCTTTCCAGCGAATCAGAGGATTCCCAGAAGGGGGCGCCGGTGGTCAAGGCCAGGGGAGCCCCAGGGGGGACGTGTCAGGAGCAGGGGGCCAGCGGAGGATCCCAAAGTGGCAGCTGGGCGTCAGGACCAGCCTCCCCACCAGAGTGCAGCGAAGGGGGTGGAGTTTCCAGTGTGTCAGAGGAAGCAGCTCCGGCAGCAGAGAAAGGAGGGAGGTCAGAGCAAGCCGCCCTCCCGGAAGGGGAGGGGAGCAGTGAAGGGAGTAGTGTAACTGTCAAAAGGAAAGTTAGAGGTTTGGCGCGCGCGCCTAGTTCAAATGTAGAGGCGCGCGGAAGTACAGGGAGCCCGGAGGAGGGGCCAGGTCCCAAAGCCCGCAGGATGGGGGAAGAGCAGTCTGATTCAGCGTCAGAGGAATCCAGGAGGGGCGAAACCCCAGCGGGCAGAAGGACCCTGCGGAAAAGGAAGGAGAGAAAGAGGTGGAGCAGCGCAAGCCTCTTAAATTGGTGCAGGGGAGGGACGGATTCAGAGGGGACTTCAGCGGTCTAAGCGTAAGAGACGTAAGGCTGCGCGCCTAGGATGTCAAGCAAACAATGAACTGCAATAAACACCTTTGTATATAAGAAGACATAGGCGTTGGTCTTTTGTGAGCTGAGACTTGAGGCAGCTTTGACAGTAAGTCCCCTCTCAAAAGAACCGCAAAATTTTTTTTGCAAAGCTCACGAAGTTTGGCAGCGATGACTACTGAGGAGCAGATAGCGTCCCTGCAAAACGCAGTCACCGAGCTCTCCACTGCCGTCGTGGTCTCTCAGAAGACGGTTGCCGAAGCAGAAGCGCGATGCCAGGATCTGCAAGCCAGGTGGGATCGGGCGTGCAGAGAGGGGTTCCCGGGTCCAGATCAGAGGGAATCGGACTCGGACGGAGGGGGGGCAATTTAGTAGCCCACTTCGATGGGAACCTGAAGCATTATCCCAATTTCAGAGCAGACGTCGTATACGCGCTGCATTTGCTTCGAAAAGACTTCAAAGATGAGGAGGAAAAAGTAGGTTTTATTGTGTCCCATCTGCATGGGGAAGCAAGAACCTGGTTACGCAATTTGTGGCGCGAAGATGGTCTTGCACGCAGGGACTCTGATGAATTTCTCAAAGCCATGGACGCTTGCTTCCAATCTACTGTTGACGTTGATGTGGCACGCCAGGAGATGCATGGATTGCGGCAGGGCAAGGCTACAGTGCGTCAGTACCATTCTCGCTTTTTTGCATTGCTGAATGTGCTGGGCTGGGAAAAGGACCCCTGGCAGTGAGGGACTTGTTCTGGAAAGGGCTCATGGCTCAGTGAAAGATGAGCTGGCTAGGGAGACAGACCTCAAACCCTAGCAGACGTCGTGCAGAGGGCACTCACGATAGGGGTGCGCCACGAAGAACGCCCTTGGCACAGGGAGGAGGGGCGTCACGTCCGCCCACCAGCTAGAGCGCCTCCTTTTCCTTCCAGGGACCTGGAACGTTCAAACCTTTCGCCTGTGCTGGCAGCGGGGCAAGAACCAATGGAACTGGGTGGTGCAAAGGCTCAGACAGCTGCCGGAGCCTCAGCGTCAGGAGCAGTCAAAGCGAAGCCTCCTAGAGGGACCAGGAAGTGTTACATCTGTGACAGTGCACGGCACATGGCTAAAGAGTGTCCCCAGAGGCTCCAGAAGCACACTGCAGCCTTAGCAACAGTAACAGGGGAAGCTGCTCCAAGGGGAGCAGTTTCAGGGAAACGAGAATGCCTGGTTGGAGGGAGAGATGCTGGGGCTCCGCCAGGCAAGTCAGTGAAGCAGTCCCCAGCGCTTTTGCAGCCTACAGACCCCTTACCACCCAAGCCAGTGGTGCAGCTCACTGCTACTCTCCAGCTGCCTAATGGACTCACCCTGGAAGTCCCCATTACGATTGACTCAGGGAGCAACGCAGACTTCGTGGGGGTGCAGTTCGTCAAGCAGCATCGCATAGCGCTACTACCAGCCACGCTGCCTCTGAATGTGGTCACTGTAGATGGCAGGAAGTTGCTGGGTGGGCAAGTGGTACAACAGACGCCACCCATGCTGCTGAAAATTGGGAATCATCGCGAGGTCATCAGTTTCAATGTCACCCAACTGTCAGACACGCCCATAGTGTTAGGCATGAGTTGGCTGGATAGACACAGCCCATCATTGGCGTGGTACCAGCGGCAGCTCACTTTTGGCTCGTCCTACTGCGCACAACATTGCATCCAGATCGGCCAGGAGGAGGAGGGCCAGGAGGAAGGGCAACAGCTGCATCTAGGCATGGTGCAGGCAGTGCCCCACAAGTACAAGGGGTTTTTGGAGGTCTTCTGCGAGAAGGAAGCTGACCAATTACCACCCCACCGGCCCTACGACTGTGCAATTGACCTCTTACCAGGGGCGACGCTGCCGACTGCGAAGCTGTATTCCATGTCTGAAGATGAGATGCAGGAGCTCAGGGAGTTCATAGATCACAATTTGAAGCGGGATTCATCCGAGAATCCAAGGCAGTGGGGGCAGTCCTGTGTTTTTCGTGAAGAAGAAGGACACGCCCCAAAAACGGCTCATTGTGGACTATAGGGCCATAAACTCGATGACAAAACCCAAGGCTTTCCCCATGCCCAAGATTGACGACCTGCTCGCGACGGTGAGGAAGGGGAGGATCTTCACCAAGTTGGATCTACGCGGAGCATACAATCTAATACGCATGAGGGAAGGTGACGAGTGGAAGACGGCCATGTTCACGCCGCTGGGCACCTATGAATACAGAGTTATGCCGCTTGGTCTCCAAGGTGGCTCCCACTGTTTTCAAGCATTCATGCACCACGTGCTAGCAGGACTCCTCTACAAGAAGTGCGTATGCTTTCTCGACGATATTCTGATCTTCTCGGAATCGCAGGAGACTCACGAAAGAGACGTAAAGGAGGTCCTGCAGAGGCTACGGGAGCACAGACTCTACGCCAAGCTGGAGAAGTGCCAGTTCGACGTGACGGAGGTGGATTTCCTGGGCTACCGGCTGTCCGACAAGGGACTAGCCATGGACAGCGCCAAGGTCCGCGCGGTGTTGGACTGGAATAGCCCGCGCAATCGGAAGGAGGTCCAGAGGTTTGTCGGCTTCGCCAACTTTTACCGCAAGTTCATCAGGGGTTTCGCGAAAGAGACGGCAGCTATCACGGACACCCTCAGTTCCAAGAAGAAAAGTTCACCTGGACGGACCAGGCGGAGCAGTCCTTCAGGAGACTTAAGAGTCTCTTCGCGTCCGAAGACCAGCTGCTACACGTGAATCCCGGCAGGCCCATGCGGGTTGAGACTGACGCATCTGACAGAGCAGTGGGGGCCGTCCTCTTGCAGGAAGATTCGCAAGAGAACTGGAGGCCCTGCGCTTTCTATTCCCGGAAGCTCAGCAAGTCGGAACAGAACTACACCATCTGGGACAGGGAGTTGCTGGCCATCCACGCGGCTTTCAAGGCGTGGCGGCACTTCCTCATCGGAGCCAAGCACACCGTGCAGGTCCGCACGGACCACAAGAACCTAGAGTATTGGCGCACGGCGAAGCTCCAGAGCCAGAGGCACATGAGATGGGCGGAGTTCTTTGCGGATTTCGATTTCCGGATAGAGTATATCCCGGGGACAACAACGTCATAGCGGATGCGCTCTCCAGGAAACCGCAGTATCTTGAGGAAGCGGCACCAGTGGCAGCCAGGCACATTTTCGCACCGCAAGCGTGGGCGTGCGCTTCTGCCGCCGTGGACCTGGACGCGGTACGACGCGCGCTACAGACGGATCCGTTCGCACAATCCAAGATGGAGGAGGTGCGAAGAGGGACAGCAAAGGACGGCGAATTCCAGATACGCGACGGCCTGCTGACCCGCAAAGGTGCTCTCTACGTCCCGGGAGACGATCTCCGCGCGAAGGTTTTACAGCAGTTACACGACGCCCCAGCGCGGGTCACTTCGGCAAGGAAAAGACGGCGGACTTAGTAGCCAGAGACTTTTGGTGGCCCCAGATGCGGGGAGAAGTCGCGGATTACGTCGCCAGGTGTGACACTTGTCAGAGGTCCAAGCCAGTGCACAAGAAGCCAGCGGGATTGCTGGAACCGCTGGAGACGCCACTGCAGCCGTGGGAAAGGGTGGCGCTGGACTTTGTCACTGATCTGCCCAGTTCGCGGGGCAAGACGGCGGTGCTTGTGGTTGTAGATCTGTTCACCAAGATGGCGCACTTCATTCCTTGCGCGAAGGTGGCAACAGCGGAACAGACCGCCAGGCTATTCATAGACCACGTGTTCCGGGTGCACGGCTTACCACGGTCCATCCTGTCCGACCGGGGTCGCCAATTCATTTCCAGTTTCTGGCAGAAGCTCCTGGGCATCCTGAATGTCAAGATCAACTTAGCGTCGGCGAGACACCCGCAAACCAACGGCCAAGCGGAGAGGGTCAACGCCATCATGCAGCAGTACCTGCGATGTTACGCCAATCAGAAGCCTGCAACTTGGGTGGACTACTTACCGATGGCCGAGTTTGCCTACAACAACACGAAGCACGCGTCAACGGGGTGACACCGTTCTTCGCCAACAATGGGCGACATCCCAGAACCTTCCCGGCGTTGGAGACAACGACGCAGGGGGAGTCGCAGGGAGCGGAACATTTAGCAGCAGAATTGCAGGAGGTCCACGAGGAGCTACGACGGCACTTGGAACTAGCTAAACACGCCTACAAAGTGCAGGCAGACAGGCACAGGAGGGCAGGAGAAGACATCCAGGTGGGGGACTGGGTATGGTTAGCAGCCCAGGCGGTGCCGGCCAAGTCGTTAGCTAAGAAGAAGCTAGGACACAAACAGCTAGGGCCATACCAAGTTGAGGGCAGGATCAATCCCGAAGCTTTTCGGTTGACCCTCCCAGAGGATTCCCGAATGCACCCGGTCTTTCATAGGTCGGTGCTTACACCCTACAAGGCCCCACACAGATTTCAGGAGCCAGGGACGGCACCAGACCCACGTAGAAAGTCACCAGGGGGGGGGGAAGTCACCGAGGACCCCGACACTCAACGAGGTCACGGAAATTCTGGACTCGAGATGGGGGGAGGAGGGAGTGGAATACCTCCTCGCCAGGGAAGGTACCCCGGCCAGCGCCAACAGTTGGGTGCCAGATTATGCTCTGGAGGAACCTTTTCTTAAGGACGAGTTCCATGCACTCTTCCCACACAGGCCCATGCCAGAGGAGTATTTTGACGACTGGCTTTTTACCCCCACACTTTCAGGCAGCACCTTCCGGGGGTTCTCCTCCGCAGAGGAGACCACGCCGCAATCGAGCCCTCCAAGGGGATCGTGCTCGGGGGTGGACACGGACCGCTCTTATTGGTGGGACGATCAACCAGAAGTGGGGTGGCGAAGGGGGCCTTGGCAAGCAGCTTCGCCTGAAGTAACAGGGGGAGGGAAGGGTTTGGAGGTGTTGGGGGAGGACCCCGGTTTCGAGCACTCCTACACTGAACTGGAAGCAGAGGAGATCGACGTCGACGAACTGTATCCAGCATCTACCCCCGCTACAACGAAGCTCCCGGAACCTGCGCCCGAGCAGCGGGAGGGGGGAAGGGGGGGCTTCAAGGGGGGATGGATGTCAGGGGTTCAGGGAGAGAGGCACAGGGTAGGCAGGAGATGGAGAGCGATGGGGATGAATTCCAAGCCAGCGAGGAAGAGGATGACAATGACTCAAGAGATTCCATGAGTCTTTCCAGCGAATCAGAGGATTCCCAGAAGGGGGCGCCGGTGGTCAAGGCCAGGGGAGCCCCAGGGGGGACGTGTCAGGAGCAGGGGGCCAGCGGAGGATCCCAAAGTGGCAGCTGGGCGTCAGGACCAGCCTCCCCACCAGAGTGCAGCGAAGGGGGTGGAGTTTCCAGTGTGTCAGAGGAAGCAGCTCCGGCAGCAGAGAAAGGAGGGAGGTCAGAGCAAGCCGCCCTTCCGGAAGGGGAGGGGAGCAGTGAAGGGAGTAGTGTAACTGTCAAAAGGAAAGTTAGAGGTTGGCGCGCGCGCCTAGTTCAAATGTAGAGGCGCGGGGAAGTACAGGGAGCCCGGAGGAGGGGCCAGGTCCCAAAGCCCGCAGGAGGGGGGAAGAGCAGTCTGATTCCGCGTCAGAGGAATCCAGGAGGGGCGAAACCCCAGCGGGCAGAAGGACCCTGCGGAAAAGGAAGGAGAGAAAGAGGTGGAGCAGCGCAAGCCTCTTAAATTGGTGCAGGGGAGGGACGGATTCAGAGGGGACTTCAGCGGTCTAAGCGTAAGAGACGTAAGGCTGCGCGCCTAGGATGTCAAGCAAACAATGAACTGCAATAAACACCTTTGTATATAAGAAGACATAGGCGTTGGTCTTTTGTGAGCTGAGACTTGAGGCAGCTTTGACAGGCAGCATATAAACAAACAAGCAAACAAATAAAATTAAATGCAGCATAGGAGGGAGGCATGAGAGTCACAAAATGAAGGCATGCAGGAATCATTCGTGGATGCATTCTAGCCAAATGTTAAATTCAATAAATATGGAAACATGATTAAAATAAAAAATATACACCCAAAGTCTCTGGTTGTTACATCATTGTGATGGGTCAAGTGTCTCTGGCAGGATTATTTGTAGCTTACACGGCTCAGACTCTTTGCCCTCAAATCCTTTAACCTAGCAACCCCATTTTCCTCAATTCAGATCCCTAGAAGCAGAAGGTCCAGTCACCTGGCTCTGTATTGCTGGCATGGGGCTCCTGGCTTCGACTTTTGTAAGATCAGCCTTCTGGACCAGGCCAAGGGCACATCTAGTCCAGCATCCTCACAGCATTCTCAGTGGCCAACCAAACACCTGTGAGAAACCAGGGAGCAGACCATGAGCCCAAGAGCCTGTGGCTTCCAGCAACATTGCTTCCTTCAGAAACATTGCTTCCTTCCTCTGTGGAGGTAGAACATAGCAGTCATGGCTGGGAGCCATCGACAACCCTCTCCTCCTGGGAGAACCTAGCCTCTTTTACTTAGGCGCTGGTGACATCCTGCTGAGGTTGCCACAATGTAGGGCTGCCTTTCAAGAGGGTTTGGAAACTTGAGCTGGAGCAGAACGTGACCACCCAGAAATGGTTTGGGGCCAGATGGTCAGAACATGCAACCCAGAGCTAGACCTACACAGCTATTAAAAAAAACAACAACAACGCTCTGAAAAGAAACCCCAGGAGATCCCCCCTCTTTTTTTTTACTCACTATGATGCAGAAGGTGAGCTCCTCTTTGTGGGGGAAGGTGACATGTCCCACATTCGATTGCACAAGCGCCTTGGTTGTTAGAGTTGCTGCCTTCATAAAGCTCTTCTTCAAAGCCTGGTTCTGAAAGGAGAAGGGATTTTATAAAATTGAGTTTGAATCAAAATCACAAGGAAACATAAAGCCATACTGACCCTAACCCTAATTCTAATCCTTACTAGGGTAATCCAAAAATTAACCCTAACCCAATGGTCTTGTTGATAGTTAAATTCATGTTAAATTGCTGTTTTAGGGTTTCTTTAAAAAAAGTATGGAACGGATTAATCCATTTTGCATTACTTTCTATGGGAAAGCGTGCCTTGGTTTTGGAACACTTTGGTTCCAGAACGGATTAAGTTTGAGAACCAAGGTACCACTGTAATGCCCCATTTGGTCCTAAGTGTGGAGTCAGTATACACCCCAGTCTACAACCCTTCGGTGGATGAAGCCAAAGACCCTGCCCTAGGGCACAGTCTGAAGGCATGTGGTGAAAGGACCTTGACGGAGCTTGGGAGGTCTGCTCAGTGCCTGGATGGTGACCACTGGGAAAATGGTTGCACACCTCCTGGAGTCATATGACAGGAGAAAGGAAGGATATACCGTATTTTTCGTGTATAAGACACCCTCTATTTTGGGGGACTCCAAATTAAGAAAATGGGGGGAGGATTGCCCAGAGTTGCTGAGCTTTTGGGGGGGAGGATTACCTACAGTTGTTCAGCTATTTGGGGGAGGGGATTCCAAAAATTGCTCACCAGCTGGACCTATGCTGCCACTCACACACGTCGCAAAACCCACCTATTGTCTGTCCCTCGCCGGCAGAAACCGCCAATCGCCTTCCCAATTTCCGCAGTGACAGCCAATCAACACCACCCCTTGCCGCAGCTACCAATAACACGCACAATAGCCGCTGACTATCTCCGGCTTGCAGCGGCAACCAATCCCACGTCCCCCCTATGCACTCTCCGTGTATAAGATGACCCTCATTTTTAAACGTCATTTTTTAATAATAATAATAATAAACCTCGTCTTATACACGGAAAAGTATGGTATAGCTGAGAGAACAAACAACTGGAGTCCGTGGGATAATCAGAGCCATACCTTCCTGGTGTTCTGGAATTGAAAGAGGAGCTCCTCCATGATGAGATCAACAAAGAAATGCAGGTCATCTGGCCGTGCCCCAAATGCCATTTGACCACAGCAAAGGATGACGGTGATACTGGCATTCGTCTCGCTAGTATTCTGGAGGGTAAGGATGGGGAAAGTGAGTTTGGGAACCTTAAGTGCAATTGGAGGCACTCATTTATTTATTAAATCTGCATTAGCATACAGCCATAGCAAAATAAGACAATACAAAAAATGTTGGGGACAAGCAACCAAGCAAAATTCAAAGCGATATTGCTGGCGTAATGACATTTAAAACACCCTAAGACAATAATACAAAGATTTGGTTGCCAGCACCAAAAAAACTAGTATGCGGATATAAATAAAGCATAAAATGGCCCCAAAATAGGCTCAGCACATTGAGTTAAAAGGTAATAAAAGAATTAAACAGGTCCAGGACTAGGGCACACTACCCTATCAGAGTAGCCCTGAGTTTCAGAGCCTGCACTATGAAGATTGCCACCCCACGTGAAATTTGGGGATTTGCGTCCACAAGAAGTGCTTTCAGACAGTCTTCCTTAGATGAAATGGAGGACGGGATCAAGAGGAGGAGCTTAGGTCTTATTGGGTCATAAATAGGGCAGTAGAAAAAGAAATGTATGAAGTCCTCTACTTCGTTCATTGTGCATGGACATAGACGCTGAGTAATAGGGGTCTTAGAGTAGGTCCCCTGCAAGAAGGCCGTGGGTATAGAATGAAAACGGGCCATTGTAAACGCTCTTCTCAAATTGGGCTCCGTCAGGTCTATCAAGTAGTTGGCAAGTGATCTTACCACTTTCACTTTAGGGAGCCACATGGAGAGGCGAGCTGAGGTGGACTGTGCCCGGTCCATGGCCTCATCTCTTATAAGAATCCAGTCCCGGATTTTATGTTGGTCCCAAGATGACAACGTGTCGAATTCTGGGAGGGAGTAGCGTACAGTAATAGTCTCCATGGCCTTGGACCATTTGTTGGAGTGAGAACAAGTTAAAAAGGCTTGCCTGGCTAGTAGGGAACCTGGGGCATTGATTAATTTGCAATAAAAACTAATAATTCTAATATGGGCTCTCGCAACAATGGAGGGGAGGCCCAGTTCTGTTCTTAACTGAGCAGCAACCGATCCCTTGGGGAGACCCAGTATCTTTCGTACAAAAGAGTTTTGTAGAATCTCCAGCCGTTGAAGTGTTTTTAAATTCCACCCCCAGATTTCAACCCCATACAGTAACATCGGGAGGACTTTGCTAATAAATGCTTTTCTGATTGGTGGAACCAACTGGCCGCCTTTTGCATAGAAGAATTTCTCCAAGGCTTTGATGGTTCTACGGGCAGCCAGGATGGTCATATTTAGGTGAGCTGACCAGCTAAGCCCATGCTGAAAAGTGATTCCCAAATACTTGAAAGCTGAGCAATATTCGATAGAGTGGCCCTCAAAGTTCCAGAATGACTTCCGAGTTTTCGTGCCAAAAGTAAGAATTTTGGTTTTGGCGAAATTGATTTTGAGGGAATTGGTATCACAATATGTCATGAGCCCTCTGAGCATGTTGTTTAAGCCCTGCTTGGTTAAAGACAGTATCACCATGTCGTCCGCATAGAGTAATATGGGGATCTTGAGGTGTTGTAGAGAGGGGGCAGATTGATTTAGGGCCTGCATAGTTGTAACGATGTCGTTAATATAGAAATTGAATAGAAAAGGGGCCAAGAGGCAGCCCTGTTTGACCCCTTTATTCAGAGGGAAAGAATCAGAAAGAGCTCCCAGGGGGCCGAATTGTACTCTGGCCGATATGTCATTATGAATTTCCATAAGAAGAAGGAGGAGTCTCTTATCTATGTTGGTGTAACTAAGCTTCTGCCATAGCCTATCTCTGGGAATGGAGTCAAAAGCGGCGGTCAGGTCCACAAAAGCCGCGTGTAGTTTGCAGTTAAACCTGTTTAAGTATTTATCAATCAGGGTAAATAGAACAAGACATTGGCCAGATGTACTGTGACCTTTACGGAAGCCAGCCTGTTCCGGGTGGAATAGCTTTGTTTCTTCTGCCCACTGATTAATTTCTCTAGCAAGAATCTAGAGTAAACCTTGTATGATATGTCTAGCAGGCTGATGGGTCGATAGTTACGCGGATCTTGTGGGTCCCCCTTTTATGTATTGGGATGACTATGCTCTGTTTCCAATTTGACGGGATCTTAAGAGTGGCATTAATAGTGGTAAAGAGAGATGCAAAAATAGGGGCCCACCACATCTGGTTCAATAAGAATACCTCGGGTGGAATCATATCCTCCCCCGGGGATTTATCCCCTGATAACATGCTAATTAGTTGTACACATCTCTCTGGGGAGACTGGCTCCCAGGTGGGCAAGGGAGATGCAGGAAGAGTGGAAACTGCGTTTATGTCGGAATCTGGGGCAGAATACAGCTGAGCAAAGTGAGAGTGCCAACTGGCTGCTGTGATGTTATTAACGATGAATGAGGGGGGTCTTAAACCTGCATTAATTAAATTCCAGAATTTCTTGTCGTCACGGGTTTTAATGGCCACTGACAATGCCGTCCAGCGTTCTTTCGCAAAGATCAATTTCTTATGTTGGAGCAACTTCTTGTAGTAAGAACGGAATTGGGCTAACTCCTGATTTTGCTCTGGGTGCTGTCTGATTTCATATCAGACTGAAGAAATCTAAGCCTACTTCTGCACTGTTTGCATTCTTGGTCGAACCAAGTTTGGTTCTTCCAGGTTAGACTCGCACGGGAGGGTTTCGTAAGTGTTGGGAGCAAGTAGGCTAGAATTTGTTGGAAACTTGAGAAATGATTCACATTCATTGTTACCAGCTGAGCTTTCAGGGCTAGGATCTCAGGGGAATTTAGGAGGACTTTTATGTCTTGCTCCAAATAGATATCCCACTTCTTACGACCGGGGGCTAAGGTCAGTGAATCCTGGTGGGGGAGTGAGCTGGGGAGCCCCAGCTGTGTGTGGTGGAAGGAGATGGCAATAGGAAGGTGGTCACTTTCGGTTCTGTTGAACACATTGAAACAATATGCCTTATCATTAAGTGCCGAAAAGGACCAGATATAATCTATAACGCTTGCCCCTCTAGATCCTAGAAAAGTATAGTATCCCCGGACCAGTCTTTGGGTGTACCATGCAAGCTGTGCAGCCCGCAGTTAATGGTAAACTCCAACAGTATGATGCCAGCCCTATTAATGGTCTTGTCATGTGAATTCCACGTAGGAAACCACTCCTCTTCTATGAATAGTTGCGACTTATCGATGAATGAGCTTATATCTGCTCCGATTCTGGCATTAAAGTCCCCCATTATGAGGATCTCTGACTTTGGGAATTCAGCCACAGATTTATCAAGGATAGATCTTAGATCCTCCCAAAACCGATTTGTATGGGAAGAGGAGTAGGTAGATGGATTGTACAAATTAACACATATGAAGTCCCCAACCGGGCTGTTAGTGATGTGCAAAGTTTGAATACAATTACTCTCTAACCAAAGGAGAGGAGAGATATTAAGATGAAGCTCCTGCGAAACAAATGTAACCAGGCCTCCACTAGGGCGCCCATACAAATGTGTTTTGGTCGCAGGAATCACAAAAGCATCATAGCCCAGTAGGGAAGGGGGAGGTGACGATTCTAAGCACCAGGTCTCTTGTATACCCATAATCTGGAATTTCGCTAAAAACTCTATCATATCCCCGCCATCCTGTTTGGACGTCCATCCCGCCACGTTCCAGGATAGCACATTGAAGCAGTTTGGGGGCAATTGGAGGCAAATCACCATTTAGTTGGGACCTTTTAGCAGCTGGGAAAATATTAGTAGTCAGTAAGTTGTTGTGCGAAAGATTGAGGGCATAAGGAGAAGGGGGCGACAGAGGACGAGATGGTGGGACAGTGTTCTCGAAGCTACCAACACGAGTTTGACCATGCTGCGGGAGGCAGTGGAAGGCAGAAGTGCCTGGCGTGCTCTGGTCCATAGGGTCACAAAGAGTCGGACACGACTAAACAACTAAGCAACAACAACAAGTTGTTGTGCAGACTTACAAATTTTGTATTTTTTTTTCCTCCAGGAAACTCAAACTGCTGGCAAGCCAGGGCTCCCCCACCCTATATTTGTGCATCAGGTTCTTCCTGCCTAAATGTAGAACCTGACATTTGACCCTATTGAATTTCGTTTTGTTAGTTTGGGCCCAGTTCTCCAATCTGTTAAGGTTATCTTGAATCCCGATTCTGTCTTCTGCGGCATTGGCTACCCTTCCCAGTTTGGTGTCATCTGCAAATTTGATAAGCATCCCCTCAATTCCTTCATCCAAGTCATTTATTTTTTAAAAAAAGTTGAACAACAACGGGCCCAGGACAGAACCCTGTGACACCCCACTGGTCACTTTTTTCCCAGGATGACGAGGAACCATGAAGGTGTTCTCTTTGGGTTTGGTCAGCCAACCAGTGAGAAAGTGCAGGACAGTGTAGGGTACACTGACCACTGGTGCTCTTTTCCATGGGAGCTGCTTTTTTAAAATTAAAATGAACCAGGTGAATCTGCTCATCTTCTCCATAGTGAGGGTTGGAAAATTTCCTTTGTCATTTCCCAACTCACAACAAAAATCCAGGGGCATCACACTCCTGGGTTTCATTTCAGGAGGGATGGGAGTTGCAGTCTGTAGCATCTGAAGGGCACCATTTTGGTTACCTCAGTGATAAACTATGGTTTATTATTGTGTGAATGAGCCTTTAACTCATCGGCTCCTGCTCCCTTCTCCTCTAGCACAGTTGCAAAAAGGAGACCGGAAGCTTTTTCTTCCATGTTTAACTAAGCACAGCCCATATCAGGACACAATGCAGTCAATCTTAACAAAGGCTAACTGAAGCAAGCTGTAATGGATTTAGGGGTTGCTCGTGCGTAAGTTGCCGCCACTGCTGGCGAGGTTACCTGGTTAAACCCTTTCTGACTGAACAGCCTCCAGCATCGTGACTGGCTCAGTCGCTGGCAGAATCCGTCAGTGGGCATTTCTTGAACCTTTTCCGGCATAAAAGTTGTTTGACGCCAAGTCTCCTCCTACTCTCCCTGCGCGGAAGTCTTCTGCGCAGGGAGGGTGTGGGCAGCGGAGTACCCGTACTCTCTCCGCTGGTCTCCGGCGAGGAGTCTTGGAGCCTCCTCTCCGATTCCCCCATCTGCCCCCCTTCTCCACTGGTGTTACGCTGATTTCCTTCCCCAGCAGATGGGCTGCCTCTCTCCCTACTGGGACCCTCTCCGGCATCCCTCTGGAGCCTTCCCTCCGCCTCTAGCTCCGATGGCAGTTCCCTGACATCCACCTCCCCCCCAGGACCCCCTCCGCCCCCGGTCCGACCTTCAGATCCAACCTCGTCCCTTTCCTCGGCCGACGATGCGGGGAAGCCCCTGAAGGAGCTGTCGCTATCCTCTGAGGATTCAAAACCCGCTTCCTGACTTCCAGATACTATAGATCTTTGAAAGAGTGGTTACTGCAACCTTTGAAGGAAGTCTGCAATGAAATACTGGAGGGGAAAAGGGCACCAGAATCGTGGAAAGAGGCGTACATCACACTTATACCGAAAACAGAGACTGAAAAGACTCAGCTTAAGAACTATCGCCCTATATCGTTACTTCTAATGTGGATTACAAAATTTTTGCAGACATTTTGGCCAAGAGATTGAAAAAATATTGATGAAAGAGATTCATAAAGACCAAGCGGGCTTTCTCCGGGAAGACATCTGTCTGATAACTTGAGGAATATAATTGATATTTTGGAAAATTAGAAGTGAATATAAACACCAAAGCAGTATTGATATTTGTGGACGCGGAGAAAGCTTTTGATAATATCTCTTGGAGTTTTATGAAGAAGAATCTGCATGGGATGGGGGTAGGCCAAGGTTTTGAAAATGGTATAAGTGCAATATACTCTGAACAAAAGGCTAAATTAATTGTAAATAATGTGGTTACGGAAGAAGTTAAGATAGAAAAGGGACACGACAGGGGTGCCCAATTTCCCCACTGCTTTTATATCGGTCCTGGAGGTTTTGCTAAATATGATTAGAAAGGACCGGTTGGTTAAGGGCATACAGGTCGGAGCTAAACAGTACAAATTGAGAGCATTTGCAGATGACCTAGTATTGACGTTACAGGAGCCAGAATCTAGTACTAAAAGAGTTTTAGAATTAATTCAGGAATTTGGTCAGATGGCAGGTTTTAAATTGAACAAGTTAAAAACTAAGGTTTTAGAGAAAAACTTAACACCGATTGAAAGAGAGAGGTTTCAGAATGAGACAGGATTGAATGTGGTAAAGAAAGTGAAATACTTGGGGATTAATATGACAGCCAAAAATGGGAACTTATTTAAAGATAATTACGAAAAATGCTGGACGGAAGTGAAAAAAGATTTAGAAATTTGGTCAAATTTGAAACTCTCGTTGCTGGGCCGTATTGCTGTGATAAAGATGAATGTATTGCCTAGAATGTTGTTTTTGTTTCAGACATTACAAATTGTAGATAAGATGGACTGTTTCAAGAAGTGGCAGAGAGATATTTCTAGATTTGTCTGGCAGGGCAAGAAGCCCAGAATAAAATTTAAGATATTAACTGACGCCAAGGAAAGAGGTGGATTTGCCCTGCCAGACCTTAAACTTTATTATGAATCAGCAGCTTTTGCTGGCTGAAAGAATGGCTACTTCTTGAAAACACAGACATTTTGGATTTAGAAGGTTTTAACAATGTATTTGGATGGCATGCATATTTATGGTATGATAAGGTCAAAGCACACAAAGCATTCAAAAATCATATTGTTAGGAAAGCATTGTTTAATGTCTGGATAAGATACAAAGACTTATTGGAAAATAAAACCCCAAGGTGGCTGTCACCAATGGAAGCAAAAGCTCTGAAAAGGCTCAATATGGAGGCCAAATGGCCGACATATTGGGAAATTTTGGAGCAAGAAGGAGATAAATTGAGACTGCAGAGTTTTGAAAAATTAAAAATAAAGTGAGAGATTGGCTCCACTACTATCAGATAATGGAGGCATATAACTTGGATAAGAAAATAGGCTTCCAAGTGGAAAAGTCAAAATTAGAAACAGAATTGTTAGAACCCAAAACTAAAAATTTGTCAAGAATGTATAACTTGCTGTTGAAATGGAATACTCAGGATGAAACGGTGAAATCTGCTATGATTAAATGGGCACAAGATGTTGGACATAACATTATGTTCGCTGACTGGGAACAGTTATGGACCACAGGTATGAAGTTTACGGCATGTAATGCCTTAAGAGAGAATATTATGAAAATGATATACAGGTGGTACATGACCCCAGTCAAGCTTGCAAAAATTTATCATTTGCCCGATAATAAATGTTGGAAATGTAAAGAAACTGAAGGTACATTCTTTCACCTTTGGTGGACGTGCCCAAAGATTAAGGCTTTCTGGGAAATGATATATAATGAACTGAAAAAGGTATTTAAATATACCTTTCTGAAGAAACCAGAGGCCTTTCTCTTGGGCATTGTCGGCCAACTGGTGCCAAAGAAGGACAGAACCTTTTCATGTATGCTACAACAGCAGCAAGAATACTTATTGCAAAGTATTGGAAGACACAAGATCTACCCACTTTGGAAGAATGGCAGATGAAGGTGATTGACTACATGGAATTGGCGGAAATGACTGGCAGAATCCGAGACCAGGGAGAAGAGTCGGTGAAAGAAGACTGGAAAAAATTTAAGGACTATTTACAGAAATATTGTAAAATTAAGGAACTTTAGAAGGATGTTGGATAGAAATTAAGAGGTTTTTAGCTGTAATGCTTTAAGAGACATAAAAAAAAGGTTAACAATTGGGTAAAAGATTAATGGTAAGGATTTGCTGAACCAACAAACTGAATTGGAATACAAAGAAGGGAGGTATGAGGAGGTCTGGGGAAATAAGAGTAAGGAAGATAGGTTATGGAACATTATTGTGTTTTTAACTGTTTTATTTTGTATCTTTTTTCTTATTTTTTACTTTTTTGCTGTAATTTATACTTTTTTCTTTGTTTTCTGTATTTTTGTGAAACTTTAATAAATATCATTTAAAAAAAAAAAAAAACCCGCTTCCCACCTGCTCCAATATCTTCCCGCGGGGTGGGCCTCCCAGTCTGATTCTTCTCTCTCTGACACTTCCCCTCCCTCCTCTTCGGAGGCCGGAAAACCCACAAAGTCCTCTTCATAGTCTGTGGTTCCAAATTCTTCCTCCCAGAATCTCGCTAGTGGTTTCGGTTTATCTGGGAACAGGCTGTGGAATTCTTCCACTAGATACCCGTCATTGATCGCCTCAGCGGGGACCCATGTGTTTTCTGACTCGGGTTCTCCCTCCCAAGCCACCAAGTACTCCACCTGGCGCCCTCGCCACCTTGAATCGAGTATTTCCGTGGCTTGGTTGTGGTGTTCCCTCTCCTCTACCCGCGGGTGGGTGGTGACTCCTCCCTCCCGCCCCGGAAATTCCCACCCCTCCCTGTATGGTGAGAGTAGGGACCTATGGAACACCGGACTGCCCCCCACTGCCTTTGATTCCCTTATGAACCCCCTCTTCAGGTTCTTGTCAATAAACTGCCGCAACTCCAGCATCTCCCGGTCAGACATGGTATACAGCTTACCCACCGGCAGCTGAGCCTCTGGGAGTAAGTTGATTTGGCAGTCAAAGGGCCTATGGGGGGTGTAGTCTATCCGCCTCCTTCTCGCTGAAGACTTCCTTTAGGTCAGCGTATGGTGGTGGCACCTCTCCCTTTGTTTCCACCGCCAGCCCAGCCACCCTGGCCACTGTCATTCTTGGGGTTTCCCCCCCCAGACAGTGTTCCAAACAGTAAGCTGACCCAAAGGTGACTGACCGCTGATGCCATGACACTACTGGATCATGCAGTGCCAGCCAGCTCATTCCCAGTATTATTGGGGGTCCTGCCAGTGTGGCCACGTGAAAGGCAATGGTCTCCGTGTGCCTGGAAACCCTCATTCGCATTGGCGGGGTCTGGTGTGTCACTTCCTCCCAGAAGTTCCCTGCCATCGATGGTGGTCACTTGCAAGGGAAAATCCAGGGGTAGCAAGTGTATTTGGTGCTCCAAAGCGAAGCCCCTGCTGAAGAAATTGCAGGAGCTGCCCGAATCCAGCAGCCCCTCAACCTTGACTGGGTCCCATTCGGGAGTTCTAGCACCACTGCTATGGCTATCGCTGCCCGGGGGGGGTCAGGCTGGGGCACTTCTATTGGTTGCTGGCCTGGCTGCTGGCCCCTCTGGTTGGCAGCCAGGCTTTGTCATTTCCCTGCGCCTGCCCTTCCTCCCCCTTCTCCTCACAGCCAGCAGCCCCCACCATCCCTTGCCAGGCCTTTCTTTGAGGGCAGACCCTTGCAAAATGTCCCGGCCGTTGGCAGAGGAAACACTTCTTGGTGGTTTTCCAATCCTTCCCCTCCCTCTTGCGACCTTCACTGGAGTTTGAAACCTCGCGCGCGTGCGCCATCTATTTCCATTGGCTCAGCCGCATGGGAAAGCTGTCTCGGTATTTCAGGAATGCGATAGTCATGGCAACGTTCCCCTCTCACTTCGCGTTTCTCCTGAGCCAGCGCTTCCTGCCTCACTCCAATCGCAAGCACAGCCTTGGTCAGCTGATCCATCGACTGTGGGCGGGGCGCGCGGGACAGCTCATCCTTCACCGTTGGGGACAACCCCTCCTCAAACAACATTTGAATAGGTTCAGAGTCCAGATCCCACCCGAGACGGTTGATCAACATTGCAAAGCGCGACCAGTAGTCTCTAACTGACTGGCTCCCCTGCTTGCACCCCATCAGTTCTCGCCGAGTCACACTTTGCTGGACTTCACTGGAATACATCGCATCCATCGCCTGAAAGAATTTCTTAAGGTCCTTCAAGGCATGATTTTGCGTCGCCATAAGGGGCCTGATCCATTCTCTTGCCCCATCCTCCAGATGCCCCACAATGTAGGCTACCCTTTGCTCATCGTTAACAAAGTCATCATGCTGCAGTTCCAAAGCGTACTCTATTTCCGTTCGGAACGCATTGTAGTCCTGGGGTTTCCCCCCAAACTTGTGTACCAGCCCCGGTACCTTCCTTGCGATGGGGGTGGGTCTGACCTGAGCATCCTGAGCTCGTCTTTCGTCCAGCCACACCGTCAGGAGAGCTACATGCTGTTCCAAGTCTCAGTTTCTCTCTACCAGACCTTGCACTGCAGCTGCTTGCTCCGTCTCTCCGGCTCCTCTGGTCTGGCTCATGGTGCTGCCTCTCTGGAGCTGTGCACAAGCAACGTCGGTGACTGACGGATTGCTGTAATGGATTTAGGGGTTGCTCGTGCGTAAGTTGCCGCCACTGCTGGCGAGGTTACCTGGTTAAACCCTTTCTGACTGAACAGCCTCCAGCATCGTGACTGGCTCAGTCGCTGGCAGAATCCGTCAGTGGGCGTTTCTTGAACCTTTTCCAGCATAAAAGTTGCTTGACGCCAAGTCTCCTCCTACTCTCCCTGCGCGGAAGTCTTCTGCGCAGGGAGGGTGTGGGCAGCGGAGTACCCGTACTCTCTCCACTGGTCTCCGGCGAGGAGTCTTGGAGCCTCCTTTCCGAATCCCCCATCTGCCCCCCTTCTCCACTGGTGTTACGCTGATTTCCTTCCCCAGCAGATGGGCTGCCTCTCTCCCTACTGGGACCCTCTCCGGCATCCCTCTGGAGCCTTCCCTCCGCCTCTAGCTCCGATGGCAGTTCCCTGACACAAGCCAACTTCGAACCATGGATTAGTAAACTGGCTCCTTTGAACAAATCATAGTGAATAATAACCATAGTTTGGGGCGTTTGAAGTAACACTTGATGGAAGTTAACTGAAAGTGGAAGGAAAAGGTTCTGATCTTCCAGCTGGGTTGGAGAATTGGAGAGTCAGGGGCACATGACCCCAAGGCCCCCTCAGGTTTTGGAACTGTTAGATCCGCACGCAGTTACTATGCCTTTGTGATAATTCGCTTAATTGACAAATATATGGAGGTGAGCACAGAGAGTGACACAACTATGCTTTGATTCAAGTAGACCTGTCAAAATGAATGGGCCTAACTTAGTCATGTTCATTAGAGGGCCACCAGGTGGCGCATTGGAAGATGGCCGACAATAACATCTCTCCGACCCACACGAGGTAATTAAGAGGCTGCTATGGGAAGTATGCAGCCTTCCCGGCCCCCCCAAGGAGATGGGGGGGACTGCCTTGCCAGCAGTGTCCATAATTCACCCCCAGATTCGAAAGAAGGGGGTGCAGACACTTGGCACAAGCCCTCGGGTGAAGTCGGCTCTTCCTGACGCTGTCTCCAATCAGCGCACTAGTTCGCTTTAGCTCAAAATATATAATTGGAAATATATAATTGGAAAGAAGCTAAAGCACATACATCAAGCGAAGATCGGGAGTTAAGACTGCTGATTAATGGATCTGTGAGCGGAGCGACGGGCGGGACAAATAAATCAAGTGATGAATCACCATTAAGAGACTGGTATGTCTGGAGTGAAACGGAAAGCGGGTGGAGGAAAAAACTTTTTCTTTTTTTTGCCTTATGTGAGTATTAATAACCCTCCACCCCAGAGAGAAGAATCGTTGCATTTTATTAATCACAAGCAGGAATTCAAGAACTGTGTGAATTATTGATCAAAGAGAGGATTGGTAAACATCAGAGAATGGAGGAAAGTTTTATGACGCAGTTTTAAATGGCGTCTCGCCAAGACAGGCTTGCCTAAGAAGGATGGGGGGAGGAGGACCAGAGTCATCGGAATGTGAATGATGATTGTAATGTGATCTAGACCTGGCAGAGCCCTCTGAGATATCCTTGGCAAGCCTGGGAAAATCAACGGACAGACTGAGGGAAAGCTCTTTACAGAGGTGTGGAAATGGCGTCTGTCCTTATGTGACATGATTTTTGGAGAGTGTAAAACCCACACAGAGGATGTTTGTTTTCAACCTGCTTGTGAAGATTATCAGAGATCGCAAAGAAAGGAATATATGATAACAACAAGAAGACTATCTGGATAGAACTGGATAGAACTGTCTAATTAAAGCAGCAATATAAGTGATGCTTGGACCCCTGTTCGGAGCTTGAAGTATGGGTACCCCCAACAAAAATTTAAAAATCTGGCTGTATAATTTGGAACTAATGTGATTTGGAAATAATGTGATTTGATTGGCCTGTTAATAAAAATTATATATATATTTTTTAAAAACTTAGTCATGTTCATTAAATTCAATGGGTCTACTCTAAAACATAGTTGAATGGGGCCAGCAGGCACTCCCGTAAGGCAGAAGAACCCTTGCACGAGAGCAACTTTGGCAGCTGCCCTGCCCCGATATGCAGCTGAAACCTCTCCCCTCTTTCTCTCTGCCTCTCCCAGCCTGCCAACTGCCTTCTCTCTTGGATTCTGCTCCCTCCCCTCAGTTGGAGAGGTGTCCCCTCTTCCAAACTCTAAGAGATTTTTCATTCAAAGCTTTCTGACAGCAGAACACTCTCCCTTGGAGGGGAGGGGGTATTGTATTGGAGGGGGTTGGACTAGATGACCCTTGGGGTCCCCCATTAGCTTCCACTATTGAAGAAATGCCAACCAACCTTCTGACAACCAACCTAAAAACATGGGTCAGTGTACTTTTGTATTGCGTGTACTTTGGGGTGACCAATGGTTCTAACGAATCCGTTTGACTGACTGACTGAGCCAAGGGATCAGATCAGATCTAGGATCTGGAGCCACAGAGACAGGACTGCTGGAGCCCACTTCAGAAGGATGACTGACACATACCCACAGAGGAAGTTGTCTGGCTTCCATACTGAGAGGATGAGCAGATCTAATTGCCTTTTTGGAATGGTAAGGATCCCATCCCTTGAAAAAGAGCGTATTTGGAAATGGGGCAGGATTCGTTCTTTTCCAACACAGCTCTGTTTTCCTAGATCAGAGGAACCCAGAGGCTGCTTCACATGCTTTGGTGTGGATGTATTTGGCTAAGGATCCAATTTGGCAGGACCTTTGTCTAACCATTGATCGTGCTGTCAGGGGCTGATGGGAGTTCCAATTCAAAACACACGGATGGGGAAGGGGCACCAGGCTGGGGATGGCTGACCTACACTCTTGCTATGCTCCTTCCTCACTTCAGACCCTTACCTCAGACATCTCAGTCTTCCTTGCAATGGCTGCGTGGCTGAAATCCCGCACTGAGCCACACCGATTGCCTCAGAAATCCCCTAGGGAGAATGAGGCACGTCAAACATGTCGTTTTCTTGATTGCAATTAGTGATCATGAGGGATGGAGGATAAATGTGATTCTGTAAGCAGACTGCTGCAAAATGTGGGGAACCAAATTTAAGAGTGGAGAAATGAGACACTTAGAGAACCAATTTGAACAGATCCTTCCATCCTGGATAATAATAGGGGTGGTTTGAAGAACGATATTTCTGTGGATTCTGATGTGAACTGACCAGACCACACCTCCCAGACTCATGTGCAGCTTGCAACACAAGGATGCCTTGCCTTCTGACATTTTCGAATCTTGTGATACAGTTCTTGGCTTCATTAAACACCCAACCACATTAAAATGCATCATTTATTCACTGGAAGTATTTGTAATCCACTCCTCACCCAAAGGCGCCAGAACAGAAATATGCACCATCTAAACCAGGGTGCTCCAATTTCTCATACCAAGTGGGCCACAAGAGTAGTTCAGCACAGAACCTGTGGGCCACACACTCACTTGTCATGTGGGAGAGGGGAGCAAGGCCAAAATTTGACACACACACCCTGGCCCGCATGCAGCCTTCCCAAAGGTAGGCAGGTGAGGTGCTGGGTTTTGGGAAGGAGGCACGAGGCTCTGGTGGGACCTAGAGCCTTCCCACCTTCTTCCCAAAACTGGGAAAGCTAACTAGGCTTTGGGAAGGAAGTTGGAGGACTCTAGGACCCTGACAGATCACACATGCCTCCTTCCCAAAGCCCAGTACCTCCTTACCCAGCTTTGGGAAGGTGGTGCAAGGCCTACAGGTGTGTATGGGTGCCTCAAAGGTTGCTGAGGGCTGCCAAGAAAGGCATTGAGGGCCACTTGTTGGCTGCTCTGATCTAACCCAAAACTAAACAAATCTGCCCCAGATATATTGAATGCTGAAAAGCGGTTCCTACTATAAGGGGCTTTGAGGGTGTGACTGGGTGGGCACGAAATCCTTGGAGGGTGGTGTAGTTGGAGGAACAAAGGTCACGAGCAGAGAGTCTCAGTGTGAGCGCAGTCCCAGTCCCGCTGGCTCTCCTCCCCCCTGACATCCCACACATTCACTCACCTCTCTGTCTGTTTCCTCTTTGAGAGGCAACGCCAGGAGTAAGTGCAAGTATTGGTGGACTGTCTCTATGCTCCTGGAATCCCGTAGCTTGTGTCCATAGTATCTATAGAGGGCATTCTAAGGGTTGGGGAAGGTTTTGGTGAGTCACAGTGAGGAGACCCCACTCACTAGCTACATAAACTGCTTTTGGAAAACCAAAGAATTTCAATTTTACCTTCTGAAAATGTTGGGTAATACTAAATAATAATAATAGATTGCAAGTACTAGACAATTGTTTTAATGATTTGTATGCAATTTTACACATAGTTTACTTATCACGCAAAACTAAATTATATTAATTTAACCACATCTTCTGAATTCCCAAGTCATGCTACAACTCTTTAAAGATAAAGGGACCCCTGACAATTGGCCAGTCGCAAACAACTCTGGGCTTAAAGCTCATCTCGCTTTAAGGCCGAGGGAGCCGGCATTTATCCCCTTGCGCAGACAGTTTTTCCAGGTCATGTGGCCAGCATGACTAAGCTGCTTCTGGCAAAACCAGAGCAGCACACGGAAACGCTGTTTACTTTCCAGCCGGAGCGGTACTGGCTTCAGCTGGGGAGGGTGGGATATAAATTTATTATTATTATTATTATTATTATTATTATTTACTTGTTCTTTTATAACTTTTTATTGCGTATTAACAAAACAGTCATAAACGGTTCTTAACTATTATTCCTCAGTCACTTATTTCAGATACCTTCTGAGCTCTGCTTCTCCGTGACCAGCCACCCTCGAAATGGCGAATGCGCCCTTCCCTTCGCTTTCCCGCTCTTTTTTCTAACCTCCTCACTAGAGCTGGCTTGTATCTCCCCTCCTCCGAATCTGAGCCTTTCAACCCTTGCCTTTCCTAGGAACATCCTGTCCCTCCCTGTTCCTGTTGCTCTCTTCTATTGGATTCACTGCTCTCCTCCCCTCCTTGGGGAATGCTTTCTCCCTCTGAGAAACTGGAAACTTCTAACTCTTCCCTGACAGGCAAGCCCAAGCGGCACAGTGGTTTAACCCACAATGCCACCCACGTCCCTATTACAACTCTTTTGTTGTTGTTTAGTCGTTTAGTCGTGTCCGACTCTTCGTGACCCCATGGACCAGAGCACGCCAGGCACTTCTGTCCTCCACTGCCTCCCGCAGTTTGATCAAACTCATGCTGGTAGCTTCAAGAACACCATCCAACCATCTCATTCTCTGTCGTCCCCTTCTCCTTGTGCCCTCCATCTTTCCCAACATCAGGGTCTTTTCCAGGGAGTCTTCTCTTCTCATGAGGTGGCCAAAGTATTGGAGCCTCAGCTTCACGATCTGTCCTTCCAGTGAGCACTCAGGGCTGATTTCCTTCAGAATGGAGAGGTTTGATCTTCTTGCAGTCCATGGGACTCTCAAGAGTCTCCTCCAGCACCATAATTCAAAAGCATCAATTCTTCGGCGATCAGCCTTCTTTATGGTCCAGCTCTCACTTCCATACATCACTACTGGGAAAACCATGGCTTTTACTATACGGACCTTTGTTGGCAAGGTGATGTCTCTGCTTTTAAGATGTTGTCTAGGTTTGCCATCGCCTTTCTCCCAAGGAGCAGGCGTCTTTTAATTTCGTGACTGCTGTCACCATCTGCAGTGATCATGGAGCCCAAGAAAGTAAAATCTCTCACTGCCTCCATTTCTTCCCCTTCTATTTGCCAGGAGGTGATGGGCCCAGTGGCCATGATCTTCATTTTTTGATGTTGAGCTTCAGACCATATTTTGCGCTCTCCTCTTTCACCCTCATTAAAAGGTTCTTTAATTCCTCTTCACTTTCTGCCATCAAGGTTGTGTCATCTGCATATCTGAGGTTGTTGATATTTCTTCCAGCAATCTTAATTCCGGCTTGGGATTCATCCAGCCCAGCCTTTCGCATGATGAATTCTGCATATAAGTTAAATAAGCAGGGAGACAATATACAGCCTTGCCGTACTCCTTTCCCAATTTTGAACCAATCAGTTGTTCCATATCCAGTTCTAACTGTAGCTTCTTGTCCCACGTAGATATTTCTCAGGAGACAGATGAGGTGATCAGGCACTCCCATTTCTTTAAGAACTTGCCATAGTTTGCTGTGGTCGACACAGTCAAAGGCTTTTGCATAGTCAATGAAGCAGAAGTAGATGTCTTTCTGGAACTCTCTAGCTTTCTCCATAATCCAGCGCATGTTTGCAATTTGGTCTCTGGTTCCTCTGCCTCTTCTAAATCCAGCTTGCACTTCTGGGAGTTCTCGGTCCACATACTGCTTGAGCCTTCCTTGTAGAATTTTAAGCATAACCTTGCTAGCATGTGAAATGAGTGAAATTGTGCGGTAGTTGGAGCATTCTTTGGCACTGCCTTTCTTTGGGATTGGGATGTAGACTGATCTTCTCCAATCCTCTGGCCACTGCTGAGTTTTCCAAACTTGCTGGCATATTGAGTGTAGCACCTTAACAGCATCATCTTTTAAAATTTTAAACAGTTCAGCTGGAATACCATCACTTCCACTGGCCTTGTTATTTGCAGTGCTTTCTAAGGCCCATTTGACTTCACTTTCCAGGATGTCTGGCTCAAGGTCAGCAACCACACTACCTGGGGTGTACGAGACATCCATATCTTTCTGGTATAATTCCTCTGTGTATTCTTGCCACCTCTTCTTGATGTCTTCTGCTTCAGTTAGGTCTTTACCACTTTTGTCCTTTATTATGGTAATCTTTGTACGAAATGTTCCTTTCATATTTCCGATTTTCTTGAACAGATCTCTAGTTCTTCCCATTCTGTTGTTTTCCTCTATTTCTTTGCATTGCTCGTTTAAGAAGGCCTTCTTGTCTCTCCTTGCTATTCTTTGGAAATCTGCATTCAATTTCCTGTATCTTTCACTATCTCCCTCGCATTTTGCTTGCCTTCTCTCCCCCGCTATTTGTAAGGCCTCGTTGGACAGCCACTTTGCTTTCTTGCATTTCTTTTCCATAGTACTCCTCATTTGGGGAATTTGAAAGTTGAAAAGTTCAGCATGTCCTAATTGCTCTGCCTCCACTGTTGGAGGCAGGAATGCTTCTGAATACCAGTTGCTGGAAACCACAGGAAGGGGAGAGGGCCTCTGTGTTCAAATTCTGCTTTCCAGTTTCCCATGGGCATCTGGTTGGCCACTGTGAGATAAGGATGCTGGACTGTGCAGGCTGCTGGTCTAACCCAGCAGCCTCGTCTTTCATTCTTATGACACACTTTTGTCCTAGATACGCTGACCCTAGGCTCTTCCCGCTTTTTAAGAGAACTAATACCTTTACCCGCAGCCTCTTATGGGTTTCCCCACCCTCCCTCCATGACTGAAATTGGGAAAGGGCGTTCTCTTTTGTAGCACCCCATCTGCGACACGGTTGTTTGTTGCCAAGAGAGAGAGAAAACCTGAGCAGCAGGTTGCATTCAGACGACCTCCTGGTATTCCCTGCGAGGACAGCCAGAAGAGGCAGAGTTGGTCAACCTGCCAAACTCTCTGCCCCCTCTCTTTTCCCAAAGGGGAAAAGGGGGAGCCGATTGCTGTGGACCCTCAAGCTCAGAAGAAACCAGAGTTCCGTCTGCCCCAGACATTAGAAGCATCCTCATGCCCCATGAATGGTCTTGCTTCCCCCACAGAACCCCAGGAACCATTGTTTAAAGCTCCTTACAATACAGTGTTAGATCAGGGTTTCCCAAACTTGGGTCTCCAGCTGTTTTTGGACTACAACTCCCATCACCCCTAGCTAGCAGGACCAGTGGTCAGGGACAATGGGAATTGTAGTTCAAAAACTTGAGACCAGATTTTTATGGCCCCCTCTAGATTGTCCCTCAGGGCCTGAGTGTGCTAAGCAGGAGGGGGGGGATGACCTCCCGCGCTCCTTCAAGAAAAGGTCTTGTTCACCCTTCCAACAGGAGGTCGTTCCAGGTTAATTGTGTTCACGTTCAAGTCAAATAACCAAAAGAGGGAAAGGTGGAGCTTTTGTTTCCTGACGCTTACTCAGGAAGCCTGCACTGGTTGACTTGGTAGTTCTGAGGGAGCTTTGCCTCTGAATGTTTCGTTCAGTGTCTCCCTGCTATGTACAAGGTCTGTGCTAAGAAAGAAAGTCAAACTCCTCTCTTCCTCTTTTCTCAGATTGTATGCCGCCCCCTCCCCCCCCCCCGTGTCATCTACGATACTCAGGACTTACCTTCTTGTGTCCAGGCTTGGATGTCTTCTGCTGGGAATAAAATGAAGAAAAGTGTCATGTTCCTTGCCTAGAGAACAGTTGCCATCTATCTGCCATTTGTCTTCTCTAAAAAACCCCACATGCCTAGAAATAGACTTCTTGCAAAAATCATTTGGAGTAAAATCTATTGCAATCAATTCTTCTTCTTTTTTAAAGTAACACTCCAAAGAAGATTAAATAAATCTGGGACTGGGAGACACACCATTCATTTAAAGCACTTTGTTTCCTGCCATGAACAAACAGAATCTAGGCATTGTGGCTATTACTATTATTTATTAAATATATGTACTGCCCATCATTCAAAGATCACAGATATGAAAACACAAAAATACATACCATAATAACAAATAGACAATACCACTCCCAGTATTATTATTTATTAAATTTTCTGTTGCATAAAGTATTTGCTTGCCTGCTCTGCCAAATGCACAGGCCTGGCGAATTAACTGCTCTTGAGAGCGAAGAGGAAATATTGACCATATTTGGCACAGTACAGTGACAAAAACTTTTACTGCACAATATCGGGTTCTGAAACGTTCCCAGATATCGGGAATGATCAGTTGCAAAAGTTAAAGAAAAAAACATGCAACATTTCCTGGGGTCCAAATCACCCCACCAAATATATTTCATGGATTGGTTCTTCTTCCGGTCCACAGATCCTGCACTGATCACCTTCTCTGCTTCCCCAAGTTTGCCTGGTCCTCTTTTCAAGCCCTCCAGGCTTGAAGGTCACCACTCCTTCTCACCAGGGGAAAGTCGTCTCTTGCATCTGCAAATAGGACCTTCCTCCAAGCTGGGCTCCCAATAATTCAGGCATAGGCAAACTCGGCCCTCCAGCTGTTTGGGGACTCCAATGCCCATCACCCCTGACCTGCTGGTCCTGTTAGCTAGGGATGATGGGAGTTGTAGTCCCAAAACAGCTGGAGTGCCTGTGATAGTTCATGGCAGTTCCCCTCAACTTGAACCCTTCTACATGCTCCCACCAGCCCCAGGCAGCATATGGTCCAGAACATTTAGAGGGCACCAGGTTGGAGAATCCTGGTTCACGCTGCGCGACATCAGACCAGGGTGGATAAAAATCAATGATCCAATTTTTTAATTAATTAAAAAAAGGATTTCTTTGATTTAAATCACATTTAAAAAAAATTTAAATTGGATTTCTAAAATAAAATGCTTTTGGAGGAAAAATCTTTCAAAAGATATTTTTCTATTTAAGGTGCATTATAGTCCAAAGGCGATTCACTGGGAAGTAAGGATTTGTTTTAAGTTTTTCATATATGCTAAAATTCAGCCTAAGAATTTTTTTTAAAAAAATGTTTAACCACATCAGCAAACATGGATATATATCCTATAATATTGTTTTAGTTAAATAAATTGTTTAAATTGTTATTAAGTAAATGATTATTTTTCTCCTTCCAATAAAGTACAGCAGAAAAGTTGTCCAAATATACAGTGGTACCTCAGGTTAAGAACTTAATTTGTTCTGGAGGTCCGTTCTTAACCTGAAACTGTTCTTAACTTGAAGCACCACTTTAGCTAATGGGGCCTCCTGCTGGTGCCGTGCCACCGCCCCACGATTTCTGTTCTCATCCTGAAGCAAAGTTCTTAAACTGAGGTACTATTTCTGGGTTAGCGGAGTCTGTAACTTGAAGTGTATGTAACCTGAAGTGTATGTAACCTGAAGCGTCTGTATACAGTTAACTTATTATACACATTAATTTCATAATTATCTGTCTATGCATTCCTAACAGTATAACCAAATGAGTAGTAAAAACTACTCTGAAAAATTATTCCCAAAATGAAACCTTCATCTGGTTGTAAATATTAAGATTATACCAGCAAGAATGTAAAAATACGATTTAAATCAAGTTTTTCTGACTAGTGATTTGAATCGTGATTTAAATCGATTTGATTTCAATCAAATCCAGCCTGCATCACACACACCTGGGGAGGTGGCTGGAGGTGTTGGAGGATGGTGTCCAAAATTTCCCTCTTATTCATCATCTCCAAAGTTTCCCTGAGTGTTCTTCCTCCCAGCATCTTCTTACCCATGCACAAGTACCCAAAGATTTCATCTGAGAGTTCTTGACAAAGAGAGAAAGAGAGATGAGTAAATGAGGCAGACGAGAGGCAAAGGTACTGTATTTTTCCATGTATAACACACCCCCATGTATAAGACGCCCCCTATTTTTGGGTACTCAAAATTTAGAAAATGGGGGGAAGATTGCCAAGACTTGTTAAGCTTTTTGGGGGAGGGGTTGCCCAGAGCTTTTTTTGGGGGGGGGAGCCATTAATCAAATTGCATGCATCAACCACCAAGTCACCTATCGTCTGCCCGATTGCCACAGCAGCAGCCAATCGACAACAGCCCTTTCCACAGCAAAGAAATCATGGCTGTAAATCTCCTCCTAGTGGCTACAACCAAGCACCCGTGGCCCCTCAGCACTACCCATGTAGTAGAGGAGCCCCAATTTGACACATGATTTTTGGGGTAAAAAACCTCGTGTTATACACGAGAAAAGATGGCAAGTTCTTTGTCAGGGGGCTTCTCAACTGTTGCAATGAGCGGGTGCATGCCATATCTGAACAGGGATAATAGAACTGTAGCATCTAAAGGGACCTGTGGGGTCACCTAGTCCAACCCCCAGCAATGCAGAACAGGGGCAGCCACCCGGAAGTCCCTGCTCCATGTTACATGCCTCTTAAAAAGGAGGGGTGAGGTGGGGGGGACTTGCACCCAGCCATCAAGGAAACCAAGAGAGACCCCGGCCTTGTATGATGCAGGCCTTGCCAAGGAAAACCCAAAAGGGATCTGGTTCTGCCTACTCACCTGGGAACGCTGGCCCAGAGTCCTCGAGGCTCTTCTTTTTGAGCCAGGGACAAGGGCCGCTGCTGCCTCGAGTCTTGCCTGCTGCTGACCGGATGAAGAGTGCTGGTCTGCGGCTGTACCAACCCTGGCAAGACTACTGGTGGGGCCTGAGTTTTCCTCCTGGCCTCTGCAGCTGATTGTGAAGGCTTCACCAATGCCGGCAGCATACTGCCTGCAGGGTCCTCTTCATCTGGGTAAATTTTTTTTTCTTTTTTCTTTAGAAAAAAAGCCATCCTGCAAGAAAGGATGAGAGCAAGAAAGGATCAGAAGAGCAACTCAGCAAAAAGAACTCACCAAATAAGCTACATTTTAATATGTTATGTCCCTAGTAGTGTCTAGTAAATGACTCTGCAATTGTTATTATACAGCCTATTACGTTTGCGTGTTGTTTCAATTGGATCTAATGATCAGCCGTTACAGCAGTTTAAACACAAATCTTCCTTCGTTCCACCTAATTCCAACCCATCTATCACACTGTTCTACCAATTGGTGATCTAGACAAACTTGAAAAGAGCCGCCCTCCCCCTTTGGTGGGTATCTCCATTAGAAGTATTAATATTTATAAAGATAATTATGAAAAAATCTGGAATGGAATAAAAAGGAATCTAGAAATATGGAGTAGGATAAATTTATCATTATTGGGAAGAATTGCGGCAATCAAGATGAACACATTGCCAAAAATGTTGTTTCTATTCCAGACAATTCCAGTTATAAGTAGCACAATATGCTTTCAAAAATGGCAAAAAGATGTTTCAAAATTCATCTGGAAAGGGAAGCAACCAAGTATAAAATATACAATACAGACATAGACAGAGCAGGATTCTCCCTTCCAGATTTTAAACTTTATTATGAAGCGGTTTGTGTTTACTTGGCTCCGGGATTGGATCAAATTAAAAAATACAGATTTGTTAGATCTGGAAGGACATGATAACAGATTTGGATGGCATGCATATCTATGGTATAATAAAGGGAAGGTACATAAAGGGTTTCATAACCACACAATTAGGACATCACTCTTAAAAGTATGGGGGAAATATCTATTAGAACAAAAGACTCAATGGTTGGTATCCCAATTAAAAAGATTAAATAGGGAAAGAGAATGGCCTGCATATAGGGATCTACTAGAAGAGAGAGAAGGGAAATTAAAACTCAAGGAGTTTAATGAAATAAAAGATGATGTTTATGATTGGGTGCAACATCATCAAATAAATGAGATTTAAAAAGAAGATAACAAAAGGATTCAGCTGCACCATAGCTAGATTCCAAAAAAAATTATAGATGAGAACACCAAACTCCTAAAGAAAATGTATAATTTATTATTAGATTAGGAAACTAAAGATGAGGTGAAAAGTGTAATGATTAAGTGGGGCACAAGATATTGGACACAACATACAAATGGAAGACTGGGAAAAGTTATGGAAAGTGAATTTAAAATTCACTATGTACTGCTAAAAGAGAATTATATGAAAATGATGTATAGATGGTATATTACACCTGTGAAGATGGCAAAAATGTTCAAAACAGGCTCCAATAAGTGTTGGAAATGTAAAGAAAAAGAGGGTACATTCTTTCATATGTGGTGGAATTGTAAATTAATTTAAAAGTATTGGGAAATAATTTCTAATGAATTGAAAAAAATATTTAAGATAACCTTTGTGAAAAATCCAGATGCTTCTTTGCTAGGCATTTCAGGTCAAGATTTGCCAAAAGAAAAGAAAAAACATTTCATGTATGCTACAACTGTGGCCAGGATATTGCTAGCACAAAAATTAAACCTGGGACGAGGAGGGACTTTGTCAAACTGTTACATCAGCAAGAAGCCAGGTTGATTTTCCTTTTTTAAATCCTTACACCCCAAAGGTTTAAACACTGAACTAGACGTAAATTGTTTTGTGTAATTCCAGGTTTGGGTTTGCAGTTGTAAGTGTTGCTGTTATCTGTATTGCTGGTGTTGTGTGTATTAGGTGCTGTACAGTGGTGCCCCGCAAGACGAATGCCTCGCAAGACGGAAAAACCGCTAGACGAAAGGGTTTTCCGTTTTGGAGTTGCTTCGCAGGACGAATTCCCCTATGGGCTTGCTTCGCAAGACGAAAATGTCTTGCGAGTCTAGAGATTTTTTTTTCGCTTTCCCCCCCCTTAATCTAATCTGCTAAGCCTTTAATAGCCTTTAATAGCCTTTTAGCAGCTAATCCCCTAAGCCTTTAAGCCTTTAATAGCCGCTAAACCGCTAATAGCGCTAATCCGTTAAGCCGCTAATAGGGTTGCTTCGCAAGACGAAAAAACCGCTAGACGAAGACTCTCGCGGAACGGATTAATTTCGTCTTGCGAGGCACCACTGTACCTTGAAATCTAGATGTCATCTAATTCACCTGCTGGAGGTCTTTATCATGCAACTTTGTACTAACTAAACAGTATCAGCTAATTACACTACTTAGTGAAAGCTGAACCATTTGTAGCCTAGGTACCCTCTCAGACCTCTTCTTTGGTGAAGTATTATTGTTTGTTTTGGTATATCGTCTCATTGATTGTATCTGAATTTATTTTATTCGGCATCATTCTTATTAGCTGAGGAAGCGAATCCTGACTCAAGCGCACACTTCGGGGATTTCCGAAGAGAGTCATCCTTCCCCGTTCCTGGCGCCGGGAGGCCACACTTTAAAGGCAACGGGTTCCAGGAAAAAGACCATGACAGGAGTAAGGTCCAAAGGGCCCCTGCAGTAGCAGGAGAAAGGGAATTACATATAATGTGTGTGTATAATGTGTGTGTGTGTGTGGGGGGGGAGAGAGAGAGAGAGAGAGAGAGAGAGAATTTAACAGTATGAGTGTTTTAAAAAATACCGGTATTAGTTATAGGCCTCTGGACAACCCCAGAGAAGGAAGCCTTGATCAAGCTTCCAAGGGCAACTCAGGATCACAGCAACAGGGCCCGTGAGAAGCGTATGCCCTTAGGTTACTGGTAAAGGTTGTACAGGTCAACAGGGACCTGCAAAGAGCATGCTCAAAAATTGTTTGAGGATGAGTAAGAATATCTGAGAGGTGAAACATACTTTATTAAGCAAAATGCAGAGTAAAAGTGCCTGTGGTTGGTGGAGCAGAATTTGTCTTCTTCTTTTACCATCTTCCAATATCTGCTTACACATTGAAGTTTGCTGAAGAAGCGGTTTCTGTTTTATTCCGCTACATGTTGAAAGATAATGTTATTCCATATTGTTCAAATAATTGTTGAATTTGATGTGGGTTTTTCATTTTAAAAGTCATGTTTTAAAATCATATTGATTTATTGCATGGAATTGCTCTTAAATTGGCTTGAAAGGCAGGATGCAAATTAATTTGGCTTGCAAATAATTGGTAATGCTAAATAAGCCCTCAAAGAGCTAAGGGGGGGGGGTAGTCAATCCTCTTTGGTACCGGAGGAGAGAATTCTTCCCCCTATGCTCAATTCATGGTAATGAAAAAGGGATTGCCTCATTCAGAAAGTCCAAAATTGGTAGAAAAATTAATGCCACCATAAATTACAAAATTTCAACAAAGGATAGATGCCACTTTTCCCTATAAGCCCCATTTTTCGAGTGTGTAGAGGATGTTGGTTCTTGTGGACAGGCAGTATTGGAGTTGCAAAAGGCAGGAAGGTAGGAGACTAAAGAGAAGGAAGCAGGAAAGGCCAGAGAATCTGTTTCAAGAGGGCAAAAGTAATAAGGGCTTGTTGAATTGAAGGTTGCTGAGATGAATGTCAGCTGGTATATGCATATACCCAGAAGGTATATGCAAGTTGAGAGAGGGATAGTGAGAAGAGGACAATGCTGACCTGGTTCACTACCGTAGACATCTGAAAGCTTAAGGCCCAATTAAAAGTCTAAGCCCATACAATTCATGATTAGGATAAATAAGCCTGAAAACCTTCTGAACCTGTAAATAAGGGGGCAAAAATTTTGCTGAAGGTAAAAGGCAAGAATTATTGAAAAAAAAGAAGATGAAATTTTACAGGCCTTGGCCGTTTCTTGTACATAAGAGGGACAGGGAGTTTAGTCTTCTCTTGGCCGAAATGAAATCTTATGAGCTTTTGGGCAATTCTCTGTGCATAAAGAGGGCAAGAATTTAATTTGCTCATGGCCGAAATAATCAAAATTTATGAATCCTGACCTCTTGTCATTTTGTCCATAAATAAGGAAGCGGCTGAAAGTTCCACTATGATCACAGGAAACGCAAAAGAAAAGAAAAGATTTTTTTTTTAAAAAAAATAATATTTATTACTTTTAAAAATTACAGAAAAGGAAAAGAAAAGAAAAAAAAGAGAAAGAACAAAGAAAGGGAAAAAAAGAACAATACAATACAAAACAATACAAAACACCACCTAATCACATTGAACAAAACAAAACCCTAACCCTAAACAAAACAAAACAATCACCATTTAAAAACATAAATCACACCTTCCATACTCTATTTTTCATTCCCTTGTTTCCTCTACTTCCTCTCACCTCCCTTTTTGTATTCCACTTCTATTAATTTTTTCAGCAAACCCTTCCCATCTTTCTCTATTTTCTGTCTTATTATAAATATCTTAACAAATTTTTTATCATTAAAAACTAAATACTCATATATCCTTAACTCCTTATAACATTTCTACTAAAGCCATAAAATTTCTTTCCACCATTTTTCTATCATTCATTAATTTTGCAATATTTCTATATATAAACTTTAAAATCTCTAATCTTCATCCACCATCTCCTCTCCCTGGTTTCGGATTCTGCCAGTCCTTTCCGTCAAATCCATATAGTCCATCAACCTGGAGATCTTATGTTTGAGGCTCTTAAGTCTTTTCCAGGTCCCTTCTGCAGGTCTTCTTCATATTCTTTAGTGCCAAAAAGCAAATCTCGAGAAAACTCCAACCTAGCAATACTTTTATTCCTTCCGGACAAGTCAGCCAAATTTCCATAGTTAAGGCTGAGGTCTATAAGATGTTTCATGACATATTTCAATATTCCTCCAAGTCCCAAGGCCCCCAAAACTCCAGTCTCCTCCAAACCCGTCCATGTCCCAAAAGTCAGTCAATCCCTGCATAGAAGGATCTTTCCAACTTTCTTCTTCCATCCAAGCCGGGATCCAATCTTCAAAATCTGACTTTTTCTAGATTCAATCGTAGAAGGCCTCAATTTGTAGTCCTCAATTTGCTTCTGTGTGGCTGAAAATCCCACTTGTATTACTTTAGGCTCAGCCACCACAGCTTTCTCTTTCTCCTCCGCAATCTGTCCAACCAAAGTAGTTTCTTGTGCCAAGTCCTGAATTGTTCCTGTATTAATGCTCACTTTTTTACTCCAATTAGTTACTTTTTGGTCCAAATTGTCAATTTTAAAAGAAGTGTCATCTGTCTTCTTATGGAGCTGTTCCAGCGAATAGTTTATCTTACATAACACCGTCACAATGGTTTCTCCTATCAACATTTTGAGTGGTCCAAGGTCAAACTCTAGTTCTCACACTTACTTATCATACAGCTGGTGCAGTCCTGTGACAGTTTCAAAACTCCCTCTAGAGGGAAACAGTCTCCACTTGTATCAATCCTTTCAAGCACAATTCAGACCATAAAAATAGTTTCACTTTCCAGTTACTTTTCCTCTTTTTTAAACGCAGAAGAGGACAATGGAAACAGTATCTTTCTCTTATATTAGTTGTCAAAAATGTTCTGTTCAAAGTCAATGAACTCTCCCAAAATTTCCCTTTTTCTGGCAGCCCTTTTCCAGGTTCGGAGCAGTGATAATTTGATTTTTCACTCCCTCCTGCAGGCTCGCTAAGTCCAACCCCCCCCTTCTCCAGCTTCCGGGGGGGGGGTTGTAACTTTAACCGATGAAAATTCAATCCTTTGCCAAAAGCTTCCAAAGACTTTAGCTTATTACGTCTTTGCTTCAATCTATTTACAAAAAAAGGGGAAGGCGGACTTCCTGTTTAAAACCTTCCCCGTTTCGGTGCCAAATTAAATTATTTGAAGATCCAATTTTACGTTCTACTCACGGGTAGTTGTTTAAAGTCCAGTTGTCCACAGGAAAAAGTCAGCACTCTCCGGCAACAGCAATGCGGCTTCACTCCGCGAAAAAAGCAGTCGATTCGAAGCACCGCGCCACTCACCCGTCGCTCCGGATCCCCGAAACCAGGTTTCCCCGCGAGGATCCCAAGTTCACAAGCTTCTCCCACTTGTGATTTCAGTGGGTCTCCGCCTTTGCCGTGGCGGTCAGACCCTGGTTTTCACGGAGCTAGTTCCTCCCGATCGGAGGAGCTCCGCCATTGCCGGAGGCGCCAACCCGGAAGAAAAGAAAAGATGACCCACATTTTTGAGACAGCTCTTGTCTTTATAAGCTGCATTAAAATTGTTGGAAAGGTACATGTGGAAAAAGTTTAATAAAAATTGAAAAAATGAGGCTAGCATAGCATAGGTATTTCTTGAAGACTAGAAGAAGTCCTGCAGAAAAGTTCCATGAATCCTTTCAAATTAATCCTGCAAAGCTGAAGAAAAAGGCCAGCAAGCAGTTAAAAGGTAGAAGGGGAATACCCACCAAAACCAGCAGAAATTGGACGTGCCCAAAGATTAAGGCTTTCTGGGAAATGATATATAATGAATTAAAAAAGGTATTCAAATATACCTTCCCCAAGAAACCAGAGGCCTTTCTCCTGGGCATAGTCGGCCAAATGGTGATAAAATAGGATAGAACTTTCTTTATGTATGCAACAACAGCAGCAAGAATACTCATTGCAAAGTACTGGAAGACACAAGAACTTCCCACACTGGAGGAATGGCAGATGAAACTGATGGACTATATGGAACTGGCGGAAATGACTGGTAGAATCCGTGACCAGGGAGAAGAGTTGGTGGAGGAAGATTGGAAGAAATTCAAAGACTATCTGCAGAAGCATTGCAAAATTAAAGAATGTTAGAGTGATGTTGGATTGAAAATAAGTGGCTTCCAGCTGTACAAGATTTAAAGTTATAGATAGATCAAGAGTAAGGATTAGGATTTAAAAAGTTTAAGGAAATGGAAATTTGGTTTTTTAAGAGCTAAATTTTAATGTTATATTATATTAAGACTAAAGATTGGGATTAAAAAAAGGGAAAGAAATTGCTGGACAAACAATTTGAACTGGAATACAAAAGAGGGAGGTATGAGGTCCAGAAAATAAGTAAATTTAAAGATGGAAATGAAAAGGTGATATTGTTTTTAACTGTTCTTTTTCTTTTTTGTCTTTTGTTTTTTGTTCTTTTTTTCTTTTTTGGATTATGTATTGTGCATTTTTGAATTGTGTATTTCTCTTTTATGTTTTTCTGTTTAATCTTTTATTGAAACCTTAATAAATATCATTTAAAAAAAAAAAACCAGCAGAAATTGGAATTACTAGATCCCTTGAATTTGAATGATTAGAATCCCTTACCAAATGTGGCTGCTATAAGCAACCAAGATTGATGGTTAAAAACTTTAAGCCTTATAATACCTGTGTTGAGGGAACGAAACAGCTTTCCCCCCCTCCCTTTCCTTTCTACAGCTGAGGAGAGAAGGGGAAAGAAAAAGGCAGGTTTGCCGAGACCAGTCCAGAATGAGCAAAAAGACAGCTGCCAAACTTCCAGCATGGCTGTGAGAAGGGAGAAAGGGGGGCCTCAAGTACGGGGGCTGTCCCACGACTTCCCCCATCACATCACTATATCCCTCATTGAGAGATAGGTGGGTGGGTAATTGGAAAATTCCCCAGCCTAGAAGAAATTATGAAAAGAGTGGGGAGATCAGTGTGGCTGAGACTTAAAATTTGCAGTAAAAAACACCTGCCCGATTTAGAAAACAAAAACAAAGCCCAGATAAATGGGCAGGCTGCTGGCTTTCAAAAGTAGAGAGACCAGCCTAGATTAGTGTGGTTCTTCCCCCGTCCCCTTGCTGGCTTGAAAATGCAGCAGAAAAAAGGGGGGGCTGTAAAAGAAGTAACAGACTCTTAAAACAAGATAGCAACATGAGACGGATGAGAAAAGGCAGCTAGGAAGCGGGGGGGGGGGGTTGTTCTCATCACTGCAAGCTCTCTCTACGGGCAGCTGGAAAATTTGCCCCAACCCTATCTCCCCCTCTATATGCTGGCTTTGATTAAATCACCTCCCCCTCTCACCTAAATGTATGAGGATACCCAGATACTGTATGTAGTTTGGGGAAAGCCAACTAATCCAGAATCAGTGTGCCCACAATATGCAAGAATGGGGGGGGGGGATCTCTCAAGTTCAAATGCAAATGGCCTTTCTTTTGTGCTGTGGTCCGAGTGTTCTTTTCCTTTCCTGCTTAAAAAAGCAGGCAGGGAAAGAAACAGAAGAGCCGGTGGGAGCCCACCCTTTCTCTCCAACTGGTAGTTGGACGGATAAGTGAACAATTAAGAGGAAAACAGCTTCATCACAAGCAGTTAATGCATTTTTCAACTATCAGAGGATCTTGAACTTTTGTTCAGGCTTGGTTTTCATGTCATGGATCAGACAAGCTACATCTGCGTCCAGTAAGACTGGTCTGATTGCAGTGATATAATTGATTGATTACAGTCAGTTACAGGCTATTATGCTCTTTTTATGCCTAAAGATAATTTTCAGTGAAATAAAAGCTAACACCCCAGAGGACAGGGTCACACTTCAAAACGACCTTGACAGATTAGAGAACTGGGCAAAAACAAACAAGATGAATTTTAACAGGGAGAAATGTAAAGTATTGTACTTGGGCAAAAAAAATGAGAGGCACAAATACAAGATGGGTGACACCTGGCTTGAGAGCAGTACATGTGAAAAGGATCTAGGAGTCTTGGCTGACCACAAACTTGACATGAGCCAACAGTGTGACGCAGCAGCTAAAAAGCCAATGCAATTCTGGGCTGCATCAATAGGAGTATAGCATCTAGATCAAGGGAAGTAATAGTGCCACTGTATTCTGCTCTGGTCAGACCTCACCTGGAGTACTGTGTCCAGTTCTGGGCACCACAGTTCAAGAAGGACACTGACAAACTGGAACGTGTCCAGAGGAGGGCAACCAAAATGGTCAAAGGCCTGGAAACGATGCCTTATGAGGAACGGCTAAGGAGCTGGGCATGTTTAGCCTGGAGAAGAGGAGGTTAAGGGGTGATATGATAGCCATGTTCAAATATATAAAAGGATGTCACATAGAGGAGGGAGAAAGGTTGTTTTCTGCTGCTCCAGAGAAGCGGACACGGAGCAATGGATCCAAACTACAAGAAAGAAGATTCCACCTAAACATTAGGAAGAACTTCCTGACAGTAAGAGCTGTCTGACAGTGGAATTTGCTGCCAAGGAGTGTGGTGGAGTCTCCTTCTTTGGAGGTCTTTAAGCAGAGGCTTGACAACCATATGTCAGGAGTGCTCTGATGGTGTTTCCTGCTTGGCAGGGGGTTGGACCTGATGGCCCTTGTGGTCTCTTCCAACTCTATGATTCTATGATTCCTTTTTCCTTCAAATCTAAACTTTCTCCCTCCCTTATTCCATCACATAATTTTCACCACAAGACCCGAATCCATCGGAGTTGCCCAGGAGGGTCTTGTGAGTCTCTTCCCCTTTGAGCCAGAGAACGCAAGGGCACCTGATTCCTTTCCTTCCTTTCATTTCTGAGTCCTGATTTGGCACTGCACTGTGCAAGCGTCCAGTAGGGAACTCTGATTTTAGATTATAAGAGGCAGGAGGTTGCTGTGGGCTCCCCGGCTGATTTAATGACCACTATGGGGGTTTGAGATCACTGACTGCACTGTTAGCTTAGTAGCCAGGAAGGCCAACAGCTGTACCAGCCTAGTAAGTCAGGCCAGACGAAAGGCAGTGTGTCACAGTACTCATCCTCGGAGTCTACTGTGGGTTATTTATTGTGCTTCCTGAAAAAGTGGGAATAAAACCCCAACTGCAGTATAAAAGTAAAAGCTAGCGCTATTAAATTCTTAAAATGGGTGCGCCTCATTCAAAAGAAATTAACCCACAGACTCCTGATGGGAAAGAAGCCCAGTTGGTGCTTACTTCCCGCCTGGACTCTGAGAGTCCCCTTCAATTTGTGTTTAAGAAACATTTTTCCTGTGTTTAAATTGGCCTTAGGTAACATCCAGCAGCTGCTTATCTTAAATGTGCCATCTAAAAATAAATAAATTGCAAGCTTGCTTCAAAATTTTAATCTAAGGAAGCCATGTTGGGTCATCAATCTTAAACATGACAAATATGAGAATTAGGTGTGCAAATGTTTGTTATTTGAGAGAGGCCCCAAAAGAGAGTCTTCCTCCAAGTGGTAGAAAGAAAAGAAAAAATCCTGCATATGTTCTTGCTTGTGTTCTGAGAGGAAGATTACCCCCCTTCCCTCTATAGCTTAAGTGAGGAGGGTGATTTTAAGTGATGGTAAATGATGTTTTGTTGCAACTTTTGAGTTTGTGAGTCTACAGCCGTGTTCCAGTCTACTTTGGAATGTGCTGTGAAGTTAGTCTAATGTTTCTGCTGCAACCAGCCTAGTTGAGCACAAAATGCTCTCGTAAGCTAAAATGCAGTGTCTGTAGAGTCTCCCTGTATTTCATTAAGCCTTAGGTAGGTCTCCTTCTGAGAGAAAAGTGTTGTTGTTCCGAGGAATCCTTGGAGGTATTATGACTAAATGACTATGAGAATATGGTGTTCCTTCTAAGAAAAATGTTATTAAAAGTAGAAGCTTCCATAGCCAGCAATTGTCTATCTGTCCAGTTTTAAATGCCCCCCTCGTTTCAGTCGCTTTGTTTTTTCCCCTTCTTACTTCTGTGCCAGGTAAATTTACTCCCGAGTAAGCTTCCTTTGTGGGACGCGGGTGGCGCTGTGGGTAAAACCTCAGTGCCTAGGACTTGCCGATCACATGGCCGGCGGTTCGAATCCCTGTGGTGGAGTGAGCTCCCGTCGTCCGGTCCCAGCTCCTGCCCACCTAGCAGTTCGAAAGCACCCCCAAGTGCAAGTGGATAAATAGGTACCACTTTATAGCGGGAAGGTAACAGTGTTTCCGTGCGCTGCGCTGGTGCTGGCTCGCCAGAGCAGCTTCGTCACGCTGGCCACGTGACCCGGAAGTGTCTTCGGACAGCGCTGGCTCCCGGCCTCTTAAGCAAGATGAGTACACAACCCCATAGTCGGACACGACTGGCCCGTACGGGTAGGGGTACCTTTACCTTTACCTTTACCTAAGCTTCCTTTAACAAGGAAACTGCAAAAAAAGGGGGGGGGGGAATCTTTGCTAAAGGTACCCCGCATCTCACTTTCCTAAAATAGGCTTACTATTCCTATGCAAGTTTAGGAAAAATTGTTCACTTTTGTATTCCTTTTAAATCAAATCTATGGATGTTTTATTATTTGTGAGTGGTTATATCAATTGAATTAACCCTATGCTTTATAAAAGATTCTCTCCCTTTGCCCCGTGGGAAATTGGGTCTGGCCACCACGACGAAGGCGGAGACCCGTAAAAATCACAGGCGGGAGAAGCCTGTGAATGTGGGATTCGGCGGGCACCTTCTGCGCCTCCCCTACTCGTGGGGAAACCCATTTTCGGGGCTCCAGAGCGACGTGGGGTGAGTGGCGCGGTGCTTCGAATCGTCTGCTTCTTCCACGGAGCGAAGCCGCACAGCTGTTGCCGGAGAGTGCTGACTTTTTCCTGTGGACAATTTGACTTTAAAGTAATTACCCATGAGTAGAGCTGAAACGGGAGAATTGGATTTTTAAAAGTATAATTTGGTATCGAAGCGGCGAGGTTCAAAACAGGAAGTCCGCCTCCCCCTTTTGTAAATAGACTGAGGCAATGAAGTTGCAAGCTGGAGTCCCGGAAAGTCTTGTGTAAAAGATTAAATTTCCATCGGTAAAGAACAAAACCCCCCTTTGGAGGCAGGAGAAGAGGGGGGGGGAGTTGTGGACTGAATATGCCTGCAGGAGAGAGCGAAGAGATCTAAAACACCGCCGCTCTGACCCTGGAAACGGGCTGCTAGTAGGACTGACGTATTTTGGAATGTTCATTGACAGCGTTTAGAACGTTCATTGACAGCTAGTTAAACAAGAGAAACACATTGTTTCTACTGCTTCCGGCTGCTTTAAAAAGGAGTAAAAGTAACTGAAAATTGAAACTAACTTGAAACTAATTTTCGGATTGTTTAAAAGAGGATACTATTGACTATTACAAATAGAAACTGTTTCCCCCTAGTGGAAGCCTTTGAAACCGGTTGCTTTACAAGATTTGGGTTAGGGAAATTTCCAGCTGCAAGTTAAAAACCGTGAGACTCTGGGACTGACCTTGAATCTTTTAAGTGTTATGGTTAATGGAAGAGGAAAAACAGACCAGTCAACTGCTGACAAAACATTAAGGTCTGGGAGGACTTGGCAACAATCCAAGAGAGCTTTACCATCAGGCCCCCCTGCTTTTTTTGTTGCAGCCTTTGTACCAGTATATGTAAAACCAAGAGAAATGTTGACAGAAGAGGCTCTAGCGGCTGCATTATTTAAGATAAATGATTCATTGGATCAGCTTCACAGGAAAATGGACACGAAACTAACTTAAACATAGAAAGTACAAATAATACTAATATAGAAACTACCCAGAAGCTGACACAGGAACCTATTTCGATACGGCAAACTGCGGAGGAGGCCAGGGGAAAAGCTGTTGTTGCTGAATGTAAAGAAACACAACTGGAGAGAAAGAGCAAGAGAGCCCCAGCCCTACAGAAGCAACTTGATGAATATAAGTTGGCCCTTGCTATGACTGAACTTAAAGAAAAACAGACGAATTTGAGGATTAGAGTTCACCTTTGGTGGACATGCCCAAGGATTAAGACACTTTGGGAGATGATTCATAATGAAATGAAAAAGGTATTTAAATATACCTGTTTGAAGAAACCAGAGGCCTTTCTCCTGGGCATGGTCAGCCAATTGGTGTTAAAGAAGGATAGAACTCTTTTCACGTATGTAACAATAGCAGCAAGAATACTCATTGTGAAGTACTGGAAGACACAAGATTTATCTATCCGGGAAGAATGGCAGATGAAGTTGATGGACTATATGGAATTGGCGGAAACGACTGGCAGAAGTCCGAGACCAGGGAGAAGAGTCGGTGAAAGAAGACTGGAAAAAGTTTAAGACTATTTATAGAAATATTGTAAAAATAATGAATGTTAGAAAAATGTTGGAATGAAGTTATATGGCTTTAGTAGAAATGCTATAAGGAATTAAATAGACTAATAGAGTATTAAAGGGAAAAATAAGATTAGAATATGTTAAGATAATTATAGGATAGAAAACAGAGGAAGATGGAAAGGAATTGCTGAAACAATTAATAGAAGTGGAATACAAAAAGGGAGGTGTGAGGAGGTCGTGGAAATAAGGGAATGAAAGTTAAGATATTGAAATCGTTTTGTGTTTTAAATGGTTTGCGTCTTATTTTGTTAATCTTATGTTTTTTTCTTCTCTTTTCTTTGCTTTTTCTTTTTCTTTTTTTCTGTTTTATTGTGTTTAAATGGTTGGAAAATCAATAAATATTATTTTTTAAAATTATATAAAAGATTCTCTCCCTATCTTATCTTAGGAAAACTGTTCACTTGTATCTTCCTTTAAAGATCATTTTTTCTAGGAACTTGCACTCTTTAGTCTAAGGAAGTAAACTCACTCAAACTAGCTTCAAGATCTGCTAAAAGGGTTCTGTATAAAGTTAGATACTTTTATTTTCCTCTTCCTTAGTACATGTGTGTGGTTGCATGATAGGAGCATAGCTGTGTTTCCTTTCCCAGTTGTGCATCTATACTTAAATGTGTGTGTCTCTTTGGTAGTACAAGTCTTGCAGTGAACCCTATATTTCGGAGGGTTCGACTAGATGGCCCCAGGGTCCCTTTCAACTGTCCCAATTTGTGGCTGTGTGGAAGGCGATGTGTCTGCAAAGCATTGGAGGGTAATTTTTAAATTCTGGTGTATGGTGATGAGTTGAAGTTCAGCCCAGCTTTGCTTTTGATACAGAAAGATGGAAAGATTGGTTTTTAGAGTTTAGAATAAAGTTTTAAAAGGTGAGAGGTGAAAGCCGTGATGTTTTTGAAGCAGAGCTGGTGATATCAAGCATCTGAGTGATTCTCTAACAGTTTTTACCATTTTGTCTATTATTTAAAAATCAAAGTCTATTCAAAAGTTTAAGCATATACAAATTCATAATCAAGCAGAATGAGCCTTGACCATCCCTGTAAATAAAGGGCAGAAAATTTTGTCTGCAAATGGTATGGCTGAAATGACTAAGAATGTTAAGGATCTTATGAATTCTGACTCTCTGGCCATTTTTACTGATACATAAGGAAGCAGGTGATTGTTCCGCGAATGACCAGAGGGGGAGCACACAAAATAATGATAGCCCATATTTTTTAATAGCGACAACCCCAACCCCTAACCCCAACCCTAACCCAACCCCAACCCTCTATGTGCGCTTTTGTCTTATTTCCTGATCAGATCAGGAAATAAAGCTGCTCAGGGCTGGTGAGCCACTTCTCATGGCGTGAGGGGCCAGATCTGGGCCACGTTGGCCACCCCTGATTGATGTAAACAACAAACTAGCACATTACAATGCAAGAGGAAGTGGTACTTACAGGAGATCTCTCAAGGCTGTTTTAAAGATGATCCAGAGCAATGGCCAGCCACCAATGCCAATGTAAATGCCCAGAGCAACTGCAATACTCCATGACCAGGCCAAGCCAAAAAAAATGCATCAGGTCAAGAGAACCAAGCAAGGCAGTGCAAACGCCAATCATACGCATTCTAGAGAAAGAGATAGGCTTCAGTGTTAACCACTGTTCATTTGTTTTGCATCAACATTTTATTAAGTATGCAGTTGAGCAGTGTGAGAAAAACTATATAAGCCAATTTTCATAGTTTTAGATGCCCCCAAACTGAAAAACAAGTCTGCACTTTTGAAAAACAACAACCCTGTAATAACCAATATTATTTTAGATTTTAAGATGAACTTTGTTTCATTAATTTTTTTCTTTTACAGCTATGGATTGTAGGAAAGTTGTACCCAGCAGCCATTTCCCTTCCACGATATCCAAAAAACACTACATTTGTAGTATTGCAGTGTTGTTGTTACACTACATAAGAGACCCATAAATTTTATTCTTTGTTGAGAAAGAGCATGTCTTTGCAATAATTTTCACCATCGAAAACTTTTGATTGCATCATGCCCTAATGCTGAAAATTTAGGTTTCCTAAACCTAGTTTTTCCACCAAAAAAACTACATTTTTTTAGGCATTTATAAAATCTTTTGAGTGCTGGTGTATTTTTTCCTGAAATCTTCATCATGTTATTGATCTCTGTGTAAAATTTCAAAGAGATCTGATCATTGGTGTGGCGATCACACAGGGTCCCCGGACGTTTGACGGTCTATTGATCCCTGTGCCACCACTGTGATTGCTTTCCCACTGCCACCAACCCATTTCCCTCGGGTACACACAGAACCCAGACAGTTGTTAACGTTAAATCATATAAGCAAGTTTATTTTATAAGCCTTAACAAGTTTATGGTTTCAGATAATTTTTCTTGTCAGTTTAATCTTAGTTTCTATACCGGCTTACACCTTTCCTAATAACTGCTAACTGATTATCCCAACTGTCTATTTGACTCCTCCTATCAGTTTCTCTCACTCTCTCACAATACAACTCGACCAACCCACAGACTTATCCTCCCTCTACCTTCTCCAACTCCCAACTGACTACCACACAACTCCAACTCTAACTCCTCCCCTTGGATTCCCACTGGCCAATCACTTCACACTCATTTAACCCTTTCCTTATGACCCACCTAGGTGGGCAAACGCCACAATTGGTTATGGGGGGGGGGAATGCACACAAGGCCGAGGATCTCAAGAGGGACAGAAACACAGATTTCACGAAACTTTGAAGTGCTATAAAATTAAAAGCGTTTGAGATAGAGGGAAAAAAATTAAGGGGGTTTCTTTCAACCCCCAAGGGAAGGTTGTACACCAAGTTTCATCAAAATCCGAGATGGTGGGTGGCGAAACCTTTTTTTTTTTTGCGTTGATTTGATGTGGCATGACCCTCGCCTAAATGGAATGCCTGGTTGCCATTTTGGGGCCAGATGGCTCAATGACTTTTTGGTTCCTGAAATTTATTCTGGTGGTGTAGATAAGTATAACAGATATAATTCTACAGGATGTGTTGCTCCTGTATGAAATAGTCAAGATGCAAGGATCCCCAGGCACGCACCTCCAGATGGTGGAGACGTTGGGCACCATCCTGGCACCTGGGCACAACTTGTTTAGTCGCTGTCGTGTCCGACTCTTCGTGACCCCATGGACCAGAGCACGCCAGGCACTCCTGTCTTCCACTGCCTCCCGCAGTTTGGTCAAACTCATGCTGGTAGCTTCGAGAACACTATCCAACCATCTCTGTCATCCCCTTCTCCTTGTGCCCTCCATCTTTCCCAACATCAGGCCTGCACCACCGGCAGCGAAGGGACACACCTAGGAGACGCCCAAGACACCCTGGTCGAGGGTGCACATCAATCTGGCCGGCCCCTTTCACGGCCAAACCTTTATGGTAGTGGTGGATGCCTAATCCAAATGGCTGGAGGTGGCCCTGATGCCCTCCACCACTACCGAGGCCGTCATCTGAGTGCTGCGAGGCCTCTTTGCGACGCATTGGTGTCCTGATGTCCTTGTCTCCGACAACAGACCACAGTTCACGTCAGGCACTTTTGAGCGATACCTTTAGGGACTGGGCATCCGCCATATCCTAACGGCACCATTTCATCCATCCAGCAATGGGCAAGCGGAGAGAATGGTGTGCTCGGCAAATGAGGCACTGGTGCGCCTGAACCAGGGAGACCGGCACAAGTGGGTCGCCGAATACTTGTTCGTGCAACACATCACCCCTCATGCGGCCACAGGGCAGAGTCCTGCTGAACTGCTTATGGGCCTCCGCCTCAGGTCCCCGCTTGACCGGCTGCACTCGGACTTTGCTATGGCCGAACCCCCAGGCTGTGCCAACGCACCATGGTCATTTGTTCCAGGAAACTTTGCCCAGAACTTTGTGGGGGACATTCCTTGGGTGCCAGCCACAGGAGTGGGAGTCACTGGACCTTGCTCGTACCAGGTGGCATTCGAAAACAGACGTTTGTGGCACCGGCACATAGACCAGCTTAGGCGCAGGGTTGGGGACTTGGACACTACCGTGGTGCCCCCAACTGCGCTCATGGCTCCGGAACAGACACTTACAGATGGCGAGGCTCCACCTACACCTCTCTCGCAAACTGCAGGCGTGGAGCTGAACCATGCTGCTTCAGAGGGTCTGCTGGACTTCCCACAGACTCAGACCACTGCCGTGCCTGACATTCCACCAACTCCACTTGCGGAGGTTCCACCCACAGCAGCGGATCCAGGGGACTTGGTTTCAACGCCACCTAGGGTCACGCAACAGCCTCAGCAAGAATTGGGCGGCCCCCCGGACGGGTACCAGTCCCTGGCAGTCTGGCAGAGTTTCCAAGCGCCCAACTTATTTAAAGGACTATGTTGTTGGACATTTAATACTGCCGGTCTAATGGAAGTAGGTACAGTGGTGCCTCGCAAGACGAAAAGAATCCGTTCTGGGAGTCTCTTCGTCTAGCGGTTTTTTCGTCTTGCGAAGCAAGCCCATTGACGGATTAGCGGATTAGCGCTATTAGCGCTATTAGCGGCTTTTAGCGGCTTATCAGCTTATCGGATAAGCAGATAAGCGGCTTAGCGACTTAGAAAAAGAGGGGGGAAAGGAAAAAAAAACCCCAGGAACTCGCAAGACATTTTCGTCTTGCGAAGCAAGCCCATAGCAGATTCGTTTTGCGAGGCACCTCCAAAACGGAAAACCCTTTCGTCTAGCGAGTTTTCCGTCTTGCGAGGCATTCGTCTTGCGGGGCACCACTGTAAAATGTAACCGATATGCTTTTGTGCCTAAATGAACCATTACGTGTAGTGCTGTATATAAGGAAACCATTACGATCGTAACTAACGCCTTATCTCGGTGGGGACGGGTCTTATGTACTGAAGTTCTCACCCTGGGCCAGCAGGGGGATACTGTAGTTATGCAAATATGGGATCGAAAGTGATGTTCAGTGATTGGATAGTTACAGAAAGTCGTTACGTTGTACTGGAGCTCTATATAAGCAGGCTGACTGAACCCTTCATTTCAGTTCTGTTCTGGCCTGTGAATAAACAAGAGCTGTTTGAAGAATCACTGTGTTGTCTGATATGTTCACCCACAACTTAACACAGGGAGTCTTCTCTTCTCATGCTGTGGCCAAAGTATTGGAGTCTCAGCTTCAGGATCTGTCCTTCCAGTGAGCACTCAGGGCTGATTTCCTTAAGATGGATACATTTGATCTTCTTGCAGTCCATGGGACTCTCAAGAGTCTCCTCCAGCACCATAATTCAAAAGCATCAATTGTTCGGCGATCAGCCTTCTTTATGGTCCAGCTCTCACTTCCATACATCACTACTGGGAATACCATAACTTTAACCATACAGACCTTTGTTGGCAAGGTGATGTCTCTGCTTTTTAAGATGCTGTCTAGGTTTGTCATTGCTTTTCTCCCAAGAGTTGTTGTAGTAGTTGATAGGCAGGTGCAAAAGGTGTCGGGCACATGGCAAATTTCCAAAGCTGCTGCTGAGATCATGATCACAAAGCGAGTGTGGCCATAGACTACACAATACAGCTGGGCAAAGGTAAAAGGAGCCCAGGAGCGTTGGAAAGGATGCTGAAGGCAGCAGAAGTTGTACAAATGCTAATACAGATATGGAAAGACTTTCCAAGAGAAGCTATACTACTGTAGTGCACTCTGATTGTAGCTACCACTGAACACTGCCTGGAAGCTTTCTCTGATGTAGCACCTCTCAAAAGACTAGAATATTTTCTAGGTACAATTCAAGGTCCTGGGCTTGACTGAGAAACCTTGAATACAAGGGAGATTGCCTCCTTCTCTTGTGAACGCCAAGATCAACAAATTGGTATTTAACAATGCCATCCACGAACTATGTTCTGATGCAGAAAGGCTGTAAGTTAACTGAAGCACAAGCCTGAGTATCATTCCGAAAAGTTACAAATACTCATTTCATTTTTTTACTTGGTGAAGGCTAAGGTAGCCAAGGTGAGAACTTTCACACTGAATATACTTAAATCCATTTTTAGTCCTGAGTCTTCAAGTTTGGAGGAAGCACACATTTTGTGAACGAGTGAATGAGAGCTTAATGAAGGATTTGAAACAGAATGAGGAAGTAAGTAAGCAAGGGCAAATAGAAAGGAGCAACTTGTTCCAGAAATAGGGAAGGGCTTGCTAGAAGGGCACAAAGACAGGAGTGGCAAAAGGGAACAAAGGAGAACCAGTGTGCGTTTTGTCACAAAGCTGCACACTCCAACACTTTCATTTAGCTGATTTTCTGCTAAATGATTTTCTATCACCATGATAGGCAAGGAACATTATTTAGATAAGATAAAAGATTGTATCTCCTAAAGTCAGGAGCTAGATCCCAAGGCCTGTGAGGACACTTACTTGCTTGTCCTTAGTTACAATTTTCAACCTAATAATAAATACACTGGTACCTCAGGTTAGGAATTAAGGTCCGTTCTTAACCTGAAACTGTTCTTAACCTGAGGTACCACTTTAGCTAATGGGACCTCCCGCTGGCGCCACGGCACGATTTCTGTTCTCATCCTGAAGCAAAGTTCTTAACCCGAGGTACTATTTCTGGGTTAGCGTCTTTAACCCGAAGTACCACTGCATAGCTTTTGCTTCTCTCTGTCTCTCTGAGAGGACAAAGAGAGAGATGACATGTTTCTTTGTCCTGATTTATGATTAATAAATCCATAGTTATAGTATGCTTCCACAAGCCTCACACCTATTTTGTGTGCGCAGTTCACTCTGCTGATATAGTGTACCCTGGCTTTGAAGCCTGGGTCGCTGATTTACATTGGAGCAGAGGCAGATGGGTCTTCGCAGCAGGACGGCTGGAAGGAGACGACCCAGCTGGGGCTACCCAGCGGGCCTTGCGACCCTCTGCATGCCAACAACTACAACTAACTTAAAGGAATGCTATTTCTCTTTCTTCTTTCTGAAGCACTTTCCAAAGATGGTGGGTGAGTATATATTGGGAAGGGACCCCAAGGGTCATCTAGTCCAACCTGCTACTGAAGGAGGTGAGGACAGGTGACCCCACCTAGGCCCGAAGTCACCCCAGGCCTCAAGACTTCACACCAGGCCTCAAAACCAAATTTTCCCTTTCTCTCTTCTAAAAATCCACAGCTTCAGCTTTTCTCTGCTCTTCTCTGCTTTCTCACAAGATGCTGCTGCATAGGCAAAACGTTATTTTTATCCGTACGAGAGAGCTTCAAGAAGCTAATGAATAGACTCTATCAATGCCAAGAATAATGACCCCAGTCAAACTTGCAAAAATTTACCACCTGTCTGATAATAAGTGTTGGAAATGTAAAGAGTGTGAGGGAACGTTCTTCCACCTCTGGTGGACTTGCCCTAAAGTGAAGGCGTTCTGGGAAATGATTTATAATGAATTGAAAAAGGTATTTAAATGTACCTTCACTAAGAAACCAGAGGCTTTCTTTTGGGTATTGTCGGCCAAGGGGTGGCAAAGAAGGACCAGACATTTTTTATGTATGCAACAACAGCAGCAAGGATACTTCTCGCAAAACATTGGAAAACCCAAGATCTACCCACACTGGAAGAATGGCAGATGCAACTGATAGACTACATGGAACTGGCTGAAATGACCGGCAGAATTCGTGACCTGGGAGAAGAGAGGATGGAGGAGGATTGGAAGAAATTTAAGAACTATCTACAAAAACATTGTGATTTGAGTGAATGTTAAATAAGATGCTAGATTAAAATAACTGAGCACCACTTAACTTAGAAGTTTTTAAGAAAACAAGTAAGACTGTGAAAGTTTAACTCTTTTTGAGAATTATAAGACTATGAAATATTGAAGGGATATAAGAATTCAAATAAGATGATAAATTGCTGACAAAATGTTATAACGATGAAAGTGGGAGCGGGAGATGTGAGGAAGTCCAAAGAAAATGTGAAACTATGTTAAGACAAATGTTATATTGTTTATTATGTTTATTCTTATTGTAAAACCCAATAAATTGCTTTAAAAAAAAAAAATATCAATGCCAAGAATAAGCAGGCCTAGGAACTGAGTCTTATCTCATCCAGTTGCAACACATCTTGGACATGCTGAAACGCAAGGCTCCTCAACCCCCTTGGCTTCTCATTCCCCTTTCCTGGGAAGGGCGCCAAGAGTCCCAAGAGTCCCAAGACAGGAGCTTTCTGTTCATGCTCAGGGAAACTCATGAGGCAAGACTCCTGAGGAGGGGGAGAAGGGGGAGGGAACTGGAGGGGAATATATGCTCTGTGCAAATGGCTGTAAACTTGTGCTAAGCTTGTGAGTTATTATGCTTGCTCCTTCTACCAAGGTAGTAATAAAGCTCTTTCTCTGGATCAACCCTTGAGTGTCTGCTTGACTCCCACTGCCCTGTCCCGGGCGCAATGCTCTTCCCACCCGAAGGCAAAGCCTGAAAAGGCTACACTACAAGGCAGGAATTTGCAGGTGTCCCTTACGGGGATCAACCCCACAACCTTTGTGTCTACAGCACAGCTAGATGCTCATAGAATCATAGAATCATAGAGTTGGATGAGACCACAAGGGCCATCGAGTCCAACCCCCTGCCAAGCAGGAAACACCATCAGAGCACTCCTGACATATGGTTGTCAAGCCTCTGCTTAAAGACTCCAAAGAAGGAGACTCCACCACACTCCTTGGCAGCAAATTCCACTGTCGAACAGCTCTTACTGTCAGGAAGTTCTTCCTAATGTTTAGGTGGAATCTTCTTTCTTGTAGTTTGGATCCATTGCTCCGTGTCTGCTTCTCTGGAGCAGCAGAAAACAACCTTTCTCCCTCCTCTATGTGATATCCTTTTATATATTTGAACATGGCACCAGATGGTTAAAGGTATACAGGTCGGAATTAAACATTATAAATTGAGAGCATTTGCAGATGACTTAGTATTGACGTTACAGGAGCCAGAATCTAGTACAAAAAGGGTTTTAGAACTGATTCAAGAATTTGCTCAAGTGGCAGGATTTAAATTGAACAAGTCAAAAACCAAGGTTCTAGAGAAAAATTTAACACCGTTTGAAAGAGAGAGGTTTCAGAATGAGACAGGTTTAACAGTGGTTAAGAAAGTTAAATACCTGGGTGTCAAGGCTGCCAGGGTGAGTCCATTAGGCAGCTGGAGAGTAGCAGTGAGCTGCACCACTGGCTTGGGTGGTAAGGGGTCTGTAGGCTGCAAAAGCGCTGGGGACTGCTTCACTGACTTGCCTGGCGGAGCCCCAGCGTCTCTCCCTCCAACCAGGCATTCTCGGTTCCCTGAAACTGCTCCCCTTGGAACGCTTCCCCTGTTACTGTTGCTAAGGCTGCAGTGTGCTTCTGGAGCCTCTGGGGACACTCTTTAGCCATGTGCCGTGCACTGTCACAGATGTAACACTTCCTGGTCCCTCTAGGAGGCTTCGCTTGACTGCTCCTGACGCTAAGGCTCCGGCAGCTGTCTGAGCCTTTGCACCACCCAGTTCCATTGGTTCTCCCCGCTGCCAGCACAGGCGAAAGGTTTGAACGTTCCAGGTCCCTGGAAGGAAAAGGAGGCGCTCTAGCTGGTGGGCGGACGTGACGCCCCTCCTCCCTGTGCCAAGGGCGTTCTTCGTGGCGCACCCCCTATCGTGGAGTGCCCTCTGCACGACGTCTGCTAGGGTTTGAGGTCTGTCTCCCTAGCCAGCTCATCTTTCACTGAGCCATGAAGCCCTTCCCAAAACAAGTCCCTCACTGCCAGGGAGTCCTTTTCCCAGCCCAGCACA